CATGAAACGGATCAACAGCTCACTCGCGCCTGCGAGGGCCGGTCTTTGGGCGCATTCAGCGGGGTGATGCCCGATGGCTTCCAGGGCCTTCCCGCCGAAGCCGCGGTTTCGCCCACTTCGGACGGGCGCGCGCGCGCGCTCGCGACACCCAACCACTTTGAGCGCCTCGGCTTCCCTCCAATGGTTTGGGGCCCGGTGTGGTGCGGGAGCAAAAAAAACCTCAGGTCGCCTCTTAGAAGGGTTGGCGGACTTCGGATTTCAACCCCTGGATGTTGAGGGTAACTGGGAAACCGCTCCAGAATGCCACCAAACCACCAATCCAAACCACCAACTAGAGGGAAGCTGAAACCGTTCCTTTGGGTAGTTGCAAAAACAACAAGCCGAAAACGAGATGTCGTGACATGGCTTGGTACCCTTACAATCATGGTGAAACCCTCCTTGTAATGTGATGTCTTCGACAACCCTGAGACTTTGATGCTTGAGGATACCACAGTTCCCGTGAAACCCATGTCCGGGCTACCTTTCAGGAGACACGATTCAATGGAGTTTCCGATCAGAGTCATGCAAAAGGAAACCAGCCACTATTGGGGGTCGGGTCCCCTAAACAGAGACACACGCATTTTGGATCGACATCTGGCCTGTTCTCTGGACAATCCCCAAATCAAAATCCAAAACAAAACAGTAGTCCTGAATTCTCATCATGACGGCATTGCACTGAGGTTCCCAGCTTTAAATCCTCATCAGGCATCCCAGCCAGCACACCTCAGGCGAAGCATCGTCAAAACTCGTTGCAACTATGGCCGTGTCTTCTTTTGATGGTACCCTTTGTGGTTGGTTGTAAATGGAAACCAAAAGAAAACCTCTTTTTTTTTCCGGGGGGGGTCCCTTTTTGAAAAATACAGACCCATATGATCCCAACCCCCCTACCATCCTTCATGACTGAGAATCGGACATTCTGACCATGGTCCAATCGTACACATGAAAAAGATATAAGGACCTGCGCCAACATGTCTACAATGAGTCTACAACATGTCAGTCGCGCTGGAAGCAACGGGTTGGTCAAGGTGACACAACAGCCACTGCCCAACCATTGAGGTCGCATCTTCGGAAAATATATAATGCTGCGGTGGACATTCTGCTGATAAACAAGGCGTGGAAGTGCCTGCAACAAAAAAACACATTGCATTCTGATCAATGGTGAAGAGTAAGAAGCAAACAAACAAATCCCTATCCTGCGTCACTCTATATTTAGTCAATTTAGTCCTTTCCATCGGCCGTTATTCTCTTGATTTCCTCATGTCCGTCCTTCTTTCTTTCCGTTCTTTCGTTCTTTCTTTGTTTCTTTCTTTCTGCCTTTCTTTCTTGCTTTCTTTCTTGCTCCTGTGCAACAAACTCGAAGCGTTACGTCCAACATAGCGCACACTTGGGACAGTTCGCGCAAACACCGCTCAGACTCAACAAGCCGCGTTGAATAGGTAGCAGGATATACTCATCAGTGCAGCATAGGCAGTCGTGCAAGAAGTCGTGATAGACCGTCAGTCATGTCAACATGCTCCGGCTCTAGAGGAAAAGGCGCAATTTAGTGCAGAGATCGTCAGCCCAGGACGTGAATGAATGAAATGGGCTTCTTGCCAAGGGCGCCCCCATGCCTTCACATCTCAAGCCCAACCCTTTTAGACATCGAGAGCTCCTTGTTATAACAAATGTGGCATTTCATGCTGTCGCTGCAGTGCTGGTTCCTCGCTGAAAGTTGCATGCGGCACCTGCAAGTTCTTTTTCTGCAAGTTCTTTTTGTGAGTGCCTATGGATAGGATAAGCACTACGTGTATCAAATTGTGGTCCGCCATCAAGTTCAACATCGCGCGGCCGGCTGGTACCCTTGTTAAATGCATGTTGAACTTATGAACTGGTGGCTTTTGCCGCAGCATGTACACGGGTTCCTTCACACTAAGGCAAAAACGGTGGCGGGGATGAGAGTTCGCAGCTTGGGCCCAAAGAAACCGCCGCGGAAGCTCCAGTTGAAGGCAAGTGGTGAGGGGCCAAAGGGCTTGTCACTTGTGGGGTGACGTGTTGTACACCAACTGGCTGTGGCTCAAAAAACAAAAGGTACACAAAATGGAGCCCTGGTAAGTGGAAACATTGACCAAAACCTGCGTACCCCCTCCTGATTAATTTTGAACCACACCCAACTGAAAGAATGTCAGGCACGGAAAGTTGGCAAAGTTCCGACCGAAATGCTGGTTGAACAACGTCGACAACGAATGCTGCAAAGTTCCACGGCAAACATGCTCAAAGTAAATGGATTAGAGAACGAATTGCATGATTTAGAGTGCGAAGCCATCCGTGCCCAAACGCTCACCTGGACACACATCTTAACCCCTGCTTTCTCTTGTCTGCATTCGGGTTGCAGAGCAATGGGCTGTCAACCGCCCGTCTGCAAGAATATGTGTGCATTTTCTGCTACACCAGTTGTCCAATGAGCGCACCGCAGCGAGGTTTTGCCGGCTCTTAGTCTTAGTCTGGAAAAGCAGCACTTGAGAATCCTAGCATCTCGAGGTCGCCGCCTGATACAACGGCCCGAATGTCCTAATCACCATCATCACCTGAATCCCTCGTCTTCTATCTAAGTGTGGCTCGACATCATGCCTTGCCACCTCAACATGGGCAGCCGGAACTAAGTGCCGCGACCGAAACGACAGCCCAACGCACCCCACACAGGGCCGCAGCTCTCCTTTTGACGCACAGGCACTCAGGGCGCGCACTCAGTTGGAGATTGCGGCCTGAGCGGCACGAAGGCGCAATAGCAGCGAGGGCGAAGGGGATAGTGATGGAACCGGCGAAGTTGCAGCTTGGGCGAAGTCAGACGTGTGGGCTCTTCAGTTTGCGCCCTTCCCTGTCCTTCCCAGTGGATCCATCGATTCGCTTCAAGCACGCCGTGTCTCACGCTCACAGAACTGAGAGCGGAACTGGCGTTCTGCCAGCCAGCTCCCTGGCTTCGGAAAGCTCCCTGCGCTTCACCAACCCTTCCGAAATCTGTCAGTGTGCAATGTGCAATGGGAAGTCTTCTATGGCCGCTGCGTGGATATGGCCGTGTTTTTTGGTATGTTCTCAACTCGCCTTGACAACATCAGGGACACAGATAAGACGGCCTGCTGAATTTGAAGTACGGTCAATTGCCAAAAAATAGACCCGCTTTCTTCTCCAAGGGAAACCCTTGCATGTCGAGTCCAGGCGCAGCCCATTGCCCGTGCCTCATGTCGAGCGCCAGCCTGCAGGTCTCAAAATGTGAAATGGTTGGAAGAAACCACACCAGTGAAGGTAGATGGCGCAATTCCTTTGGAACAGGGGTCACTAAACCAAAACGGAGAACATAGGTGCCGTGGCGCTGACTTTCAATTGGACGCCAAAGCCTTTGGCCATTTGCACAAGGATTGATGTTGTGAAACCTCGTGCAGGGGCTCCCGTTACAATTCATGGCCATTTTGGGGTCACCTGACGTCGCAGGCCTGTCCGGCAAGGCGAGAGAGCAGCGCGCCTCACGACATCGAATCGAGACGCGACGGGAAACCAGGTAGCGTGTGTCTCCGAATGGGTGTGTCTGTAGGGGGATTCCCCAGAATGGTGCTGAAAAGTGTGGCTTCCCTTCAAAAGCACAAAAGCATGGTGTGCCCACAGATCCAAATAGGAGCCCCAACAAATCCGAGGGTTGCCTTCGCTTCAGAGCCAGCCCACGGCTGTTAGCCTTCCCGGATCCGACGGACAGGTCGTGCAATCGTCAGCAGGTCAGTCGAAGAAGCAAACTGGGTCTTCTCTGAGGCTACCCCTACTTTATGGCTCTTAAAGGGGCGGCGCAAAAAAAAAAAAGGCCCCATGTTGCAAATGGGGGCCCCAAACCAAAAAAAAGAGATGCACCCAACGGACTGGATCCGGGCCTGGAAGTCCGCAGAGAGGAAGGCGCTCGCGATTTGTTGGAGACCTGCAATGGCTTGACCGAGAGAAAGCGTCTAGCGTTGATCTAGGATTGCAAGGATCCACCGACCCAGCATGAAACGATTTGAGCCGCCCAAGCAAAAAGAAAATGATCAGGGTGAGGTCGAATTGCCTGCATCGAAATTGCTAGCCTAAGAACCTAACACGTCTGGCATTGGTAGCACAAGCCTTGGAGTCGTGTGATTGCGTCACGTCATTGACTAAAGCCGGGCCAATTTCGACAAAGACAAACGCGCATGCGCGCGCACACACACACACACACACGCGCGCACACACACACACTCGCAAAGCATCCCCGGAGGTTCAAATGTGACTTTTGCCTGTGCTCTTGGCATGAAACACTTCATTGCGTCATCTCTTTGACATCTCTTTCTGCCAGCATCAGTTTGAGAACACTCCAAACACTTCCGTGATTTGACATGTGCCTTTCGTCACTGGGGGGTTCCTTGCAACCCTTTCTCTCGACATATGTTACACGCTGCTCACTTGCAAAGCATCCAATCTTTTCGCTCCAACAAGGCATCCGAGACGGCCCCGAGCGGATGATCCGCGCGGACCCTCTTTGGCGGCCAACTTCAGCTCCACCTCCCGCGCTGCCTGGTGCCATGCGCAGGGAGCAAAGCAGCGGCCGGTGGTCATCTGGGAATGAGACCGAAGCTTCGCTGAATCGTTTTCTCCCAGAATTGTTGTTTGGTTGCGGGAAAGCCAAAGGCGGCAAAGTCTTTCTCCAAGTCTTCGCTGCAAGCTTGCAACTGCTCATGAGACTTGATCTGAGTCCGCGTGCTGCCTCACACACGATCCGGTCACTCGGGCTGCGGCGCTGGTCAATGAGCTCACCTCAGCCAAGGATGGGTGTCTGTGTTTGAGGCTCGGCAACCATGTTTTGCGGTGGCTTGAAGGGAAAACCAACCAGTTTTTTTTGGGGGGGAATCTAAAAAACAACGCGAGAAAGTCTGTGGTTTCAAAAGGGAGACCCAGAGAAAAACCGCCATGATGGGTGGAAAACCTCAAAACAAACAAAAAGGCAGAGCCAAAGAACAAAGCAAAAGTCCGCCCCACAAAAAAAACAACTCCCCAACTCCGTGGGGGGGGGGGCCTCTGCCCCGGCTTCTCGTTGACCCCAGCCGTTGACCGCAGGAGAGTTGCCCCGCGCGCCTGGGCGGCTTGCTCGGCACAGGCCCGGTGCAGCTCGGAGAGGCGCGGCTCGTCCACGAAGCGCAGCTGCTGAGCAAAAAAAACCGCCGGCGACGCGGGCGACGCTCGTCGGGCGGCGCTTCGAAGCGTCGCGCTGGGGGTGAGGTGTTGATGGGTGTCTCTTCATATGGGTGTCATTGATGGATATCATGGCTTTGCTGGGGTTACTGTTGGTGATCTTCTTTAGTCTCGTCGCGTTGGGAACACTGGGTTGACGTTGGAAGTGGAGCAAAGATTCTCAAATTTTAGCAGGTAAGTGGTTGGATTTCAACCACTCTGTACCACAAGAAGCGAAAATGTGTCAGATGTTTCAACAATCATGAACAGGTTTTGAGGGGCACTTATGTGATCCTCCATGATTCCTAGGTGGTTCCATGGCCCTTGGCCATATGGGTGGGTTACTGCCTGAGATGGAGTGCCAACCACTTCTAGATGTGTCCAAATAATTTGATTCAACGCCGTTTTTTCTACATTCCGCGGAAACTGTCGGCCATGGTCTGTTGCCAGTTTGGCCCGGTTTTCGTTGGAGCCGGGAATCAACACTGGGCAATTGCAGGTGAGCTCGACTCACACCTCAGTTCCTATGCCACACTCAACGGAGCCCTGCAAAGCAAGCGCATCTCCGGCAAGCAAGCAATGCGTCAAGCGACAGGCGAGGCGAAGAAAAATCGGTTCCGCTCCTTCATCCACTGGACCTCAACATCCGTGGCACTCGGCAGCCGTTTTGCCAAGTCCTGCACACGACAAAGGCCCTTAGCATCATGGACTGGTCATGCATTCTGGCTCTCAGGCAGTCACCGCCAGCAGTGCAAGAAGGGAAATGGGCATGCTGGGCTGGTACGAAAACCAAGAGGCTACCAGAATTCTTGGGGATCAAATCCGCAAGCCTTGAGCTCCAGCTCGTGACTCTCCTGGAGCTGTTTCTTGGCTGCCTGCATGAGAGCCAAGCTCGCCTGCCGGACAATTCAACAATCAGTCTGCCTCATCCAGCAAAAGGTTTGGCTTTTCTCGCTCAAACATTTCTCAATGCAACTTCCGCTCTGTGTCTCTGTACAAGTGCACCCCTCCAAAATTGAGGTGATCCTTGTTGTTTCCCTTCAACCCCTCCCCCCAACAAAAAAAACAAAACAAAAACGGTACGACCCAAAAAAAGGGACCGACCCCTGTCCAAACCTTGGCTCGAGTTCCGTTTCCCGGCCTGCCGGAGTTGGAGCAAGCTCTTGTCCAGCTCCTGTCTCGGTCTCGCGGGTTGTTTTCGTTTATTTTTGGGGGGGAAGCTGGCAGAGGTGCTGGTGTGCAACTGTTGGCATGTTTTTGTTTGCTCTCTGGGGTCTATGCTGGTGTTTTTTTGCTTTTGGAGGGCGAAGCAACGGTAGCTCTGGTGTGACATGCATACCATTTGGCTTGGGGGGGGGGCAAAGTCGGAAACTGGGGACCCTTATTCTTTGCCTTGGGGTCGACCCTCGAAGTCAGAAACTGGGGGGTGTGGCTGCTTTCACCAAGGGGCTGACTTTGATCATGGTAAAATCCGTGGGCCCCGTTCATTCAACTTGGAGACTTGCCAAGGGACATATGGAGATACAATCTCTGGACACCAATGGAAGACGCAACAAAATATTATCAAACCTGGCTCAAGGAATGAGTGACCCTAGGAAAGCCTCGAACCATTTGAAAAAAGATTGTTTCAACCACCAGGCTCTGGCCTCCTTGTAAGGAGGACGAACAGGTTGCTTAAAGCAGCAGGCGTTTCAATGTCTCAACACGCTTGGCCCCAAAGTGGCCAGTGCTGCTTTCCGCACCTGCAGAAGATGCCCAAGGCTGCGCCGCAGCCAGCAAAGAGCCGCATCCTTGTGCAGTGCCCTCTCCACATTCTCAAGGAAAAGGTTAAAGAGACATGGCTCAAAGTGAAAGTCTGATAGATATATGCGGCTGAATAAGCGTTCCATTCATGTTGCTTTACAGGGGAACATGAATATGTTCCAACATGCTGCCTAGGATATCCTCACTGAACGTCAATCTACTCCTTCACTGGAAAGCGAGTGCTGCAAAATGAGTACGGAAAGCTCTTCGACTTGACCAGCGAGATACAGGGAAGTTGTCAGCAAGGGACCGGTACCTTGACATATTGCACAAATGCAAAAGCAGCAAGGGGGGCAGGATCTTCTGTTTGCTGTTTTGGGTCTGTCTCAGGTTGATGTACGGGTGGCTTCCCTTTAAAACCCATCAAAAGGAGGATCCGGGAGGGAAAAAAACAACCTACACTCCGAACCGAACTGAACCCGGGCATTCGAATGAGGCCAAACCCAAGCCCGGCGCGCCACCCGCTGCAGCCAGCCGCTGGTAGGGCCGCAAGGCCTCGAATGGCTCAGTCCATTTCGGGATGCCGAGTCGACCCCGTACCAAAGAGTGCGGCCGCGCCCATTTTGCTGGGACTGTCCCCTTGAACCTCATCCCAGGTTGTTCTTGTGGCTCGTTGAGACGCCCGACCTCCTTTCTTGGGCCGTGGCCGAGAGGAAGAAGCCTGGGCCACATGCAGCCCCTCAACACCTTCGGGCCTAAAGCTTCCCTTAGGCCACGGCAGAACTTGTCCAGGTGACTGCACACATCGAGGTAGGCTTGCCGCACCTGATCCATCTTACTCCATCTCAAGCACCTGCTCCTTGAGTTTGAAGAGACACCCACCCCGACGAAATCCGCTTGGCTCGGGCTTCCCCCAATTTCAACGCGACTGACTGCGACAGCCAGCGCGGCCGCCTGGACCTCCTGCTCGCCGGCGAAGGCGTCAAGCAGCCCGCTGGACGCCGGCACGGCAAACTGCCAGGAACTTTGGACCTCCTCAGGCGCTCGCTCCCCGCTCCCCCGCTCCCGGGAGTATCCCATCCCCATATCCCCATGAGCTTGATCTAGGGATCCAAAGGACAGTCATCAAACTGAAATCGTGTTGACCTAGGAATGACTGAAGGGTCAGGCCAAGCCATGGAGCCGTCAACAACAACACAACCGTGCTGCTAGAACAAACGGCGAAGTGTTAATTTCTCACAAGCACACGCATTCCGAGCCGTGGCGCCTGTAGAACTGATGAAAAGGACCTCCCTGCATTGCCTTCCCGGGCAAAACTTTGGCATGTCGCTCGGTACAAGATCCTGTACGTCATGCGAACTTGCTCGTGGGAAACCCTTTAAGCCCTTCTTGAAGAGGCTTGGTGCCGCCGAACAGAAGGGATCAACTTAATACAAAACTCGTCAATCACATTTGAGCGCCCATTCTGGTGATTGAAAACCTCCATTTTTCTCATTTGCTCGCGTGGGTACATGGTCATCCATGCGCTTGTCAGACAAGGACTGCTGAGGCTCCAATCTCCCAAAGCCATGGCCACACATTGCCACCTCCGTCACGATCTGCGCACTCCTCAGCAAGAAATGTGGGGCTTGCACGCACGCGGACATCACTTTCTATGGGGGTTGATGTCCACCAATCATTTTCTGAGGGTGACCCCGATCAAGATCAGCTCATGCAAACAAGGGAGCTGCCCAAATTGCCGGTGATATCCACTCTGGCAAGTCTGGCCAGGCATGGCACCGGGTAAACGACCAAAAAAAGAGCTCCGCCAAGCCCGAACTCAACTCCTGGGACAAACGCCCGCGTGGTCCCAATGGTTTCGTGGTCCCAAAAGCGCAAGGTGCCCATGGACCCCCCGCCCGGAGGCCGCCTCGCTGGCACCGGCCCGGAAGTGCCCCTGCGAATGTCCAGGGCCCATCACTTGCGCCCTTATCAAGCATGCCCCCCCCCAAAAAAAAAAATCAGACATAGCCGCCTCGCAATATGCGAAGCTTGGGACCAACCAAAACTAAGGAGCTCGTTCAAAAACATGGTTGAAGTCTGAACACGATGTGACCCGCCTACACTAATTGCAGGCCCCCCATGTCTCAAGGACATGTGAACAAGCAAAGCATTTGATGCCCACCGGAGCATCGTAGGAACTGGCCGTTTGTGATATCTGGCCTGAGTTCCCATGCTAGGGCCACTGCCTGTTGAAGAAGCGCTGACAGGAGCGAGCCGCGCTGTGTCTGCCTGAGAGACTCGCCAAGGCAACGTTCTGCCTTGCGCGGAAAACACGATTTCTCTCATCAAACCCGCTTTTCCGGGTGGATTCCCTTTGGCCCCATCGCCCAGTTGCGGTCGGGTTGGCCAAAGTTTTCCCCAAAGGTGCACGGGGTTGGCGTCCTCTTTAAAAACGGGGGAAGGGGCTCAAAGATTGCCAGAGGCCTCGCATTCCCGCTCGGCTGAGCTCCCTGCTGGTCCAAGGCTGCAGCCACTGCCGTGCCCTGTCAAAGCGACTCCCCTCGTCTGGACGATTTGTTGAACTAGTCGCTACCTTGTCTGACCTTATCTGTGTATGCAACAAAAAAAAGAAACGGCGATTGGTGGAAGGGGTAAAACCCTCAAACTGGGCTTGGCTACTTGCCCTCCACAACATGGCGGCATGGAAGAGAGACTTTTTCCGACGGCCAATGCCCAGGTTATACATAAAACCAAGAGGTGATATTATATATTAAGAAAAGCACGATCAAGAGATAAATTGCCTTTCTTTCTCTTATGAATGTTCTATTTGATATTTTCCTTTGTTGTTAGGATTTTATTTTAAACGGTTTCTCTTAGGATTTATGGTTTTCTAGATGTTACTAAAGATGAAGTGATAGCCAATAATTCACGGAAATAAAAGGGAAAAGGAAATCCCAACAATAAAATCCTTGAATCGAGGGAATAGGAAAGAAAAGTTCATTGGCTGGTCTCACATCAGGCTCTTCTTACCAGCCACCATCTCACACCTCTTCATCCCTTCCCACCTATCCACTTCCAAGCCTATCAATCATCAACAGTGGATAGGGAAGGGAGGAAGTGTGTGTCATCTCTCTATTTCCTGTGTTTGCTGGAATGAAGATATGAATCCATCAAACACAGACAGGAGAGAGATGTGGATGAATGCAGTGCTTGGACTGGTCTCTAAGCCGGAAGGTAACTCAAGACATCTTAACTCAGCCCCAGATGCAACCATTATATTGGTGAGGGCTGAGGAGAGAGGTCGTGGGTTCCTGAGTTATCTTCCTTCCGCTGCATCCAAGCATTCTATTTCCCACGGCCACATACTAACTCCTTCCTACGACCTCGCTCATCTCTGTCTCTAGGAGTTAATCTGTTGGGTCACAATGGTAACAGCCAGGATGGGATAATGAAAGACAGGAATTAGACCAGAATGAAGCTGTGGACATGAAGACCAACAGAGAAGCGACCCATTGTCCCATTCTTCCTTGTCCTTCCGTCCAATCCAGAATGTAACCAAAATGAACGACTTTAGGATGAGAATGAAGGTGACATGAGGAAGAGGAAGGTAATGGCTGACAAGAAATCCATCCTTCATTCACCCACCTGTCAGCTCTTGGAATCGCATGCCAGGTAAAGGAACGAAAAGAGAGGTGGCATGTGGGAGAGAGCGGAATGGATGGGTGAGGGACATCTCTTTACCACTCACCCCATTCTCCTTCCTTCTCTCTCAATTCCCACATCCATCTTTACTGAAGACCTTACCTCGTTTCCTGTGGATTGGCCAAAAAAAGTCCAACCTCTTCATTTTTCCGCAGAAATGGTCTTCCCAAAAAGTCCATGAATCTCAGGAAGTGAGTTGAGTTACCAAGAGGCTGTGGGTCAAAAGTAGGTACCCAAACATAGAACCCTGGTAAATGGAAACATCGGCTAGAACCTGCGGTCCAGTTGGTGGTCAATTTTCGACCCATATCCGATCGCCACGAACTCAGGAAGTGAGTTCCCAAGAATCCTGAGCGAGTCACTCGAAACGACGCCTCGCCAGCCACCAGCGCGCCGAGGCCAGGAACCTCGCCCTGAGAGGACTCAGGTCTCTCACGTTCCCACCCCACCCCACCCACCTCACCCCACCCCCCACTCCAACCCCCACCCCACACCCCACCCTCCACCCCACACCCCACCTCAACCCCACCCCCCCCACCCACCTCAACCCCGCCCCGCCCCCACCCCAGAGAACTTTCGAAGCCAGTCAAGTGGAATTGTCTCCGCCCAGCCTCAAAGCCCGGAGCCGGCAAGGAGCAAAGGAGGACAGGCCTCAAACTCGGCGCGCCAGCGCCCGGGTGGGTCCATCCCCAGTGACTCGCGGGTATTGTGATGTGGCAACCGAATCTCACAAGTTAGTGGCCCAAGACTGGTTTGGACTGCCCCAAATTCTGCATACATGATGCCAAATCTCTTCCATTGACGCTCATTCATCAGATTCTAGCTTAGACAAAGGGCACAGCATGCGTTGTGTCTTTCTCTCCTTGTTTTATTCCTTCTGGAGGTTCCGGCTTAGTCCTGGTGAATTTGACAGGCTTTGGCTGGGCTTAGATTGGGTGTTGATCGCATTTTGCGTTGATTTAAGGCAAATGTGTAGGCTCGGTTTAGGGTTGGTTTACTTTGGTAGGTGCTACGTGGAGGTGTGAGGCGGGACTATTGTTGTTGTGGCTCAGTGGGTTGAGGGTGGTTGTTGGGTGGGGGGCTTGGTGGTTTAGGTCGTGTTAAAGCAACTCCAAAACTACCCCCACCCTATACCAGCACAATCAACCCTAAACCCTAAATCAATCCTAGGCCAACCTTGCTAAAGCCATTCAGGCATGCGATCTAAACCAAACCAAATCCTACAAACCCAACCCCTAACCAAGCCAACACCCCCCCTAGGTTTGCTTAGAGTGGTGATGGAATTGGCCCAGATGAATCTGAGCACTGTGCAATGCCAAGCGTACTTGATTGAGTCTTCTGCGTCATATGCAAACAAGCTCCCGCTCCACCCCAAACAACACGCAAGGCCAAATGCAGTCGTGCATGAGAATGGCGCTTTACCAGAAACGCGCTCGACGCCCACCCCTACGTCCACTCAGCTCACATCTCAATTAGGGGGGTGTTTTTTGAGGGTGCCCTTTGTGGAGTTGCTTTATATACAGGGAAACCAAAAAAGGAAACCCGTTTCGGGGCTGCCCCTTTGACAGATGCCCTGCTCGCAACTTGGGCTCCAGACATGGTGTGCTCCACCAAGTCTCGGCCCAGGGACATGAGCCGGGTGATCTGGCCATCGCCCATTGAACAGAAAAAGCCAGGGACAGGACCAAATCTTGGAAATCGGGGCGATGTTTTTTTTCCCCCTCAGCTGGAACTCGCGGCGATGGCGGTTTCCTCTTGTCAGCTGGAATTCGGCGCATGGCGTTTCGAGGGGTTGAATGCGAAGACAAGTTGGACGCTGGGTGTTTCCAGCGACTTGAGAGAGTGTCAGAGTTTCAGAGAGAAGGTCAAAGTGTCAAGGTAACACTTTGACACAAATCTGGGCTGTCCTCAGATCCCCCGCTAACAGTCTAACTTTAGTGGAAGCTACCACTAAACCAACTAAAAGGATCAAAAAGCCGAAGGAACCAAATGGCTGGGAACCCAGAAATGAAAAGGCGAGCCTTTTGTGGCACGATAAATTCTCATTTTCCCTGTCGCGAGCCTGCGCCTCTCCAGTTCTCTCATTGGTCACCTGACAGCCGCCCACGGCTTGCACCCACTTTGAGGTTGAAGGAAACACCGTCTAGTGTATTGGGTGTTGCTGCTGTTTCTTGTTATTCTTGAAAAAAAACAAGAGAAAGAAATATCAGGTCAGGCGCGGGTTCAAGCAGTTCATTCCTGACACAGAAAAGGATCCCGCTCGACTTTGGATGCCGCCTGAAGCTGGAGAATGCCACAGCTCCGTAGCTATGCGAATGATTTCCATGTTCTTCTGCCCCTCAGGTGAGGTTGTGTAAAATCCTCGGTGTTTTTCGCGGCACTATTCTGGGGTTCTCGTGTTTGTTTAACACCTGGCGACAATGTGTGAACCAAGACAACGGACCAGCCCCCAACTTCCCGCCGTCTGCTCGTAGAGCCGCTCTAAGTGTCGGCACACCTGGCGGAAATGCGGCCAAATGTTGAGCCGGGGCCTTGGGCAAAAAAAGTTCGGAAGGGGCACCAAATCAAAAAAGTGTTTGGAGGGCTCGAGCATTTGCAGCCTTGCAATCTCTGATCCGGAAAGGAGAACTAGGGTCCAAACGCCTCAACCCATCCGCATTCCCTTCCATTTGGTCACATCCTTTCACAGGTGGAAACGGCTTAGGAGCGACAGCGACATCATGGAGCTGTCCAGCCCCAGACGCTTCAAGCTGTTTGCTTGGCCCGAGAATGCTGGATGGTCGTGCCAAGCGTTGGCGTCCGTGATGTCCGACTCAAAGACCCGTGACATGTGAAGCACGGTGCGCCTTGGGGCAACTTTGGCATGAGGAACACAACTTTCAGATGCGAGATCCGCATCTTCTCAAAAGGACCCACCTGACCAGAAAAGCCAAGACGCTGAAGCTTTGTGAACCGACCCTTTTACTTCCTCCCGATGGAGCAAGAACCTCACCTCTGACAACATATAATTGGATTGCGAACAATCCATCAGAAACAGAAACAATCGGGTAAGCAAGGAGAATCGATTGGGATCAGTCCGATCAACCCGCGCCTTGGCCCGATGGATCTTTTTTCCGCGTGTCCGGTCTTTGGCTCACGGAAGGAGGAAGCCCGGGCTCGAGACAAAACTGCGCTGGGCAAAGGCCCTCTGCAGCGCTCACTCCATCGCTGCAGCGGCTCAGTCGCCCGTGTCCGAATTATGCACGTCTACGGTTTGTGTGCCATGTCTCTCAAACCCTGGGGGAAGTGCAAGCCATGCTTCACTCGACTCCATGCGCTCAACAAGCAGAACCCCAATCGCAACCCCAAGCGCTGGCTGTGGAAAAAAAAAATGTGGCGAGGGACGAGAAAAAAATGGCCGAGTCCTACCTAGGCGGCGCGGCACTCACGACAGAGTGCGCACCTCAGCTGGGTGGATTTTGTTTGTCCTGCCGATCCAACGCGTTTCAACTGGCCTGGCACTGCACTTTGAAGCAAAGCTCTACCATTCCCCCCCTCCAAAAAATAAAACAAATGCAAAAACTGGGTTTGCGGCGACCTGCGCAAAGTTGTACAGGTTCCGAGTGAAATGATCCTCCGGCGAGCGCTTGAACTGAGGGTCTGGAAGGCATCTGGACTTGGGACATCTGCTTCCTCCCGATCCGCCCGTGTGCCGGTTCCTTGTTCTTCGTGTTCATGCTGTTCTCCACGCCAGCCATGAGATCCTTGGCAAGTGGAAGAAAGTCCCAACGGCGGATCCACAAAATGGTTCCGAAGTGGGTGGGTGAAGGGGTCCAAGGTAACCTGTTCTACTCGGATGCTTGGGTAACATCCGGATCCCAAGCATCCCAAGCAACCAATCCACCGCCTCGGCACCGGCGCCGAAAAAACAAAAACAACTGCCCCATTGTGCAAGAACCTCCAGCCTCACCCAAAAACAAATCAATTGCGAAAGGACTGTATAACTTCCAAGTCCCACATGCAACTTTATCTCGCCAGTGGTTTCAGGTCCTCCCCGCGGTGGTTGTCCAACTAGAGGTCTCCCTGTACCTTTTGGCTCCCTTCAAGAAGGGCTGCTTCTATCGTGTTCTGCGGGTTGGGTGCCTTTGCACAATCTGGTGCTTCATGGGTTCATTGGTTCATGCCTTCATGGATTCGTGGCTGCATGGGTTCATTGGTTCATGGCTTCACGGCCTTACGGGTTCATGGCTTCATTGGTTCATGGGTTCATTGCTTCATGGGTTCATTGGTTCATGGGTTCATGGGTTGATGGGTTCATGAGGGTTCATGTATTCATCGGTTGATGGGTTCATGCGTTCATGAAGTTCATGGGTTCATGCCTTCATGGGTTCATAGCTTCATTGGTTCATGGGTTCATGGCTCCATGGCTTCATGGATTCATTGAGCCCATGGCTTCATCGGTTCATGGGTTCATGGCTTCATGGGTTCATGGCTTCATTGGTTCATGAGTTCATCGGTTCATCGGTTCATTGGTTCATTGGTTCATGGCTTCATGGCTTCATGGTTGTTGCCGTAGGCTTTCTCCCAAATTCCAAAGCGAATTCTTCGCCATTTCGAATCCGCGGCGAAGAAAATCCGCGGCGAGCAGCGTCGAAGTAGCCCCGCAGCTTCCCGCGCTTCTCCTCGATCTGCTGGTTGATAAGCTGCTCCTCGCCGCGTCACGCGTCACGCGCTTGTGGGAGCTGTATACGTGGGAGAGCTGCTCCTTATGCCTAAGAATATGTCTTGGGGGGCAAGAAATGGCGGCTGTCCGTTTGGCTTAAGGCCACTGGCCAAAGAAAGGCGGTCTCAAAAAATGGCACACCCTATGATTTTCACTTGCCTGGGTTTGAGGAATGCCGAGGAAATCGACACGGGAGAGAGTTTGTTATACCAAATGCAGAAGCCCACGGGGGCTGCAAAACCCAGAGCATCCCTCTGCCAAAATTGATCCACTTGTCCTCACACGTCAAAAAGCGGCGCCTTCATCAACCATATTGGTAACCTCCCAAAATGATGATGTGGGTCTGTCTTTTTCAGGGGACCCCCTAACAATGGTGGTTGTCCAATAAATGTCCCTCTTGAAGCCAACCGAAAAGGGCTTCCCTAAAAAAGACAAACCCATATCCACCCCTTTCTTCGGGGTGGTATGACGGTCTCTATTGACCTGTGAGGGCTCCCGGATATTTTCTCAGAAACATGAAACCAAGAAACTCGCCAAAACTTGGCAACCAAAGAGCAATGTTGAAAGGAAAACATGTGTCTCCAAATGCGTGGTCTCTTTGATTTCTCTTTGAACAACTCCCAAAACCGCGCATCCTATGTGGGTAGGTTGTCTAAACCCACAGACGTTGAACCAGCCCTAGACCGGGGACCCCTGTAGGCCGCCACGTGGCCAAATGATCAGCGACTCGCCTGGGTTAGTGAACTCATCCCAACAAATCGCTCACCTGCGGAGTCCCTGGAAGATTCCATTGCGATATGATACGTTCAGTAAGTGCATACCAGGCACGGGCCCCTCAAACCATTGGTATTGCAATTGAGAGGCATCCTTTTGGTGGCAATCGGGATTCGCTTTCAGCAAGGCAGTCGCAATCCCACCGTTGATCAACTTGGCCCAAAAACATGGCCTCAATTGCGAAGCCTCAAGGCCAAAGCTCTTATGTTGTACCCAAAATCCATGTCTCCAAGACGATGGGGCCCCACCTTGTAAACACCCGACTCTGCATTTGAAATGGGGCAGGGGCAAAATGATGGCATTTTGGTTTGGCCTCCTTTTTCAGGACAACCCTTTCTTCGGGTACCCTGCGAGAAAACAAAAACGGTGCCGCAAAGCAAAAAACTCCGCCGGCCGGCGGAAAGCATTTTGTTTTTTCGGCCACCAGGTGCCACACAGCTTGGGCGTGTCTTTTCATGCGGCGCTCCTTGAGCTGCAAAAAGTGCTGGTCATGGAGCAGGATTAGGCCCAGCCTTAGGCTCTCTCGTAGCTGGGGGCCAGACATATCCCACACGACCGGAAGGGCGCAAAAGGCAACCTGCGCCAAGGGCCAAGCTGTGACCTGTCGCTGATAGCCACAGTAGTCCGAGACCAGCGAAATCATGTCATCCCCTTGACAAGATAGACGATACTCTAGCTCGTATACTTGATCATATGAAAACGATTGTTCCTGCCAGTGAGGTATTCCCTGCATCCTCAGCTGGCAAAGACATGTAGGTCCATGCGGTGCTGTGCATGCATGTGAGCCGTTCTTCCTCCAACATCTTCCCCAAAGGATGTGGCATCGTCCCCGAAGGCTGTGTGATATCAGACCCTTGTGGGTTGCAACGACCAGCAGTCTCAACAACTAAGGCAGGACTTCACCGACAGAAAACCTGTCGCCAGCAACCCTAAGCTTTGCACTTGGACATATGCAGCCAACAGAAGACAATGTTGCTTGCAACGAAGACCACGTGCATCCGTGCCGCCTGGCACAAAGCAAGCCGAGTGACCTGATTTTCTGCATCCAAGTGGCAGTGGCCTGCTAATTGACCACATCGAGCTGAACTCACCTCCCATTGCGCGAGCTGACTGGAGGGGGCTGAAGTTTTGCTCGCAAACCCGCCCGTCGCTAACCACTGGGCCCGCCATGGTCCAACCCAGTCGGTGTTTGCCCCGCTTGAGAAAAACGGAAAGGCTCCGACACCTTGATGTGAGCCATGGTCCAGGACTCTAGGATTCCCATCAGCAGCTTTTCTTCCCGAAGGTGGGTGAAAGTTGGCTCAGGCAGTGGATTTTGCTGCTTGTCCAGCACAGTTTCACCACTCGAGCGATTGGCTCGAGGAGCGCTGCAACTTCATATCCAGGATGTGAGCAGCTGGGCAGTTTCCACAAACCCTTCGCTTAAGCTTCCAAGAGATCCAGGTGTTTTGGATTCCAAAGAGAAACACTGCAATATGATGATATCAGTGTTACGGGCTGTTGTAGCCTTTGCCTTGACTTCCCTGAGCTTTGCTTTCGGCTTCCAAGCGCCAACTCTGTGAGCGCTAGGAAGCGCACAACTTTGGTGCCTGCTCCCATGAGGCTACTTCACATCGGGTGAAACATCACGCGAATTCCCAGTGCAGGCGGCGCAAAGGATTGTCTTCACCACACGCGCCAATTGAACTCCTTCCCCCACAGCTGCCGACCTTGTCGCAAGGGCGTGCAACCCATGGGAAAGCAAAAAACCTGAGGCGCGCGCCCTACATGCAGCCCAAGCCCGTGTTGGGGCAGCACCAGTCCTTCTTTGGCTGAGACCAGCCAATTTTGAAGTTGGGCAGACCCGCGCGGCAGTCGTAGGGGAGCTTGCCATTGAAGTGGACCTGGATCCAGTGCCAATGCCCCGCGTCGCTCTGCCACTTCCACACCATGCCCGCGCCCGCGGCTCCCGGCGGGTGCCCGCCGCCGCCGGCGCCGCCGAAGGCGCCGCCGCCGGAGGCGCCGCCGCCGAAGGCGCCACCGCCGCCGGTGCCGCCGGCGCCGGCCTCGCATCCCAGGTGCTGCTTGGCGCAGCACCAGGTCTTCTTGGGGGACGACCACCCCAGGTGCCAATTGGCCAAGCCGGCGTGGCAGTCGTACGGCAGGCTCACCACCCCTCCTCCTCCTCCTCCGCCTCCACTTACGGCCACCGCCATCCAGGTCCAGTAGCCATTCACCTGCCAAGCCAGTCAGACACCCACCGGCCATGGGGAAAAACAAAACAAGGCACTCCTCTCTTGGTGAAATTGACATCGAAAGGGAAACACTGGCAACACAAAAATATATACATATATATATATATGGTTTGTTGTTATTTGTTGTTTTTTGAGAGAAGAAAACACACCCGCAACGCAAAAAAATAAATAAAAATAAAATGGTGTTTTCTTGTTCGCCTTTTTCAAAGACGAAAAACAGAAAGTAAAGGGGGGGGCACCACCTTTGTTTGTCAAGGCCTGCATGTGCTTCCACACCATGCCGGCGCCGGGGTCAACGCTGGGCGGCCCCGAGCCCTCGCAGCCCTTGCCCTCGGTGGTGCAGCACCAGTGCTTCTTCGGCGGTGACCTGAGGCGACGTCCACGTCATGGGCGGGCTCTTGTCTTTTTGGGGTTGGTACCACGCTTTTGGTTGGTCTTAGAGGGAAACCAAAAGAAAAACACACTTGCTTTGTTGGGGGAGGGGTCACTACAGAAAAAAAAGCAGACCCATTTGCAAAGGTTTGGGGGACTCTCCAATCTAGATGATTTGTATCCTGAGGAGCCGACCACGCCCTGAAGAAGTTGTTGAGGGCGGCGTTGCAGTCAAATGGCTTGGAAGTGCCCACGTGGCCCATGTCGCACCCAGCTGCTTCGATGCTGCATGCACGGCACACGTCACACTCAACCTGCACCTTGCTATAGGCCAGTGCGCAAGCATTCGGGTGGCTGGAGAAGATATGATCGGAGGTCCACTTGATACGGTCCATGCACAGTGCTGTGTTCCCCGAATGGGTGCAGGGCGTCCTGCATCCCAAAGGCGAAAGCGTGGTGTGTGGGCAACCCCTCTGAAAGTTGGAACAGCACCAGGACTGCTTCTCCGAGTGCCACTGCGTTTGATCCCCATCGAAGCACTCGAACTTCACACATCCCTTCTGCTCTCGGCTGCAGCACCAAGTCTTCTTGGAATCGGACCATCCATGCAGCCAGTTGGAGAACCCCGCGTGGCAGTCGTAGATCTTGCCGGAGGCATGGCCCTCCCCTTTCGCGTGGGCGTGACCACCTCCATGGGCCTCCATCATCGAGATATGCAGCTTGCCCTTCCATGTGCCCGGACAGCCGCGATTCTCGTGGGCGCAGCAAAACTCCTTCTTGAGAGGAGACCAGCCAAAGTACCAGTTGGAGAAGCCTTCATTGCAGTCGAAGTGCGTCTGAGGTTTCTCCTTGTGCTTGATGTAATGATGCTGCACCACGATCTTGGGAGGTGATGGCACGGGAACGTCAACATACTTCCTCGGCTGGCCATTCCACAATCTATCCAAACAACAGCAACAAAATGAATATACCGCCCACGATGAGAAGCCTAATCATGATGAATTCATTCTTGACAGCCCTTCACAGAATGCCCTTTTCTACCTGGTAATTATACTTGTCTCAACAATTATTCGTCCTTCCAGGCAGCAACATGGAAGCCAAGCAGCGTCCTTGTGACAATTTTGGTCCTCGTGTGGTACTTGGTTTGCGGACATCCACGATTGGCTTTCCAACAGCAGAAGCGACGCTTGTCGTCGTTCCACAGGTGCTTCCAATCATGGTAGCCTTCAACACAGTCATAGTCCTTGTCATGAATGTAGACCTGCCCAAAAGGTAAGGTGAGGCAAGAAGGCTCGGGTGTCAAATTTGTAGTCTGCACCAAGGTGTTTGAAAACAAGCGCCTAGTGACAGTTGCGCTTGTTTTGCATACTACCGTTTCTGCAAAAACAATTTGCGACAAAGCTGAAAAGCGAAGCTAGGACCGCGAGTCAAACAAACCAGCTGAGTCTTTCTGACAGTCGAACCCTCAGACACTGCGTTACTTGGGTCTGTCTCTTTTTGGGGGACCCCTCAAACGGTGGCGGCGGCCGCAACACAAAAAAAGACACTTGTCGCGGCACCTTCCGAGTCTTGTAGATGGTCTCCGGGGCTTCCGTCACATGCCTCGGCACATACTTCTTCACGGTGACCGGCATGTCCACCTCCTTCTTGTCGTACACGATGTGCGGAACTTTCACCTCCCACAGAAGGGTTTTTGTATTACGCCCTGGGTCGCCCTGGGAGTACGCCCACTGGGAAATGAGCCCATTTAGGCATATTTCCGGGATAGACTCAACAACCCTTAGACACAGGCTGCTTCTCAAAATGGTGAACTAAAGGAAACCAAAAGAAACCTGGCCATTTGGAAAATGGGACCCCTATTTTGAGAAACACCCACTCTGAGTTCTTGGCTGAGAGAGGAAGCACTACACGCGGGAGACTCTTCGAGGGTTGGGTTCCCTAAAAACCCTCATGAGTGACAACCAAAACCTGACAGTGTCCAGCCAAAAATATGCGGCTGTGGGTCAAAACCAATGGGATACCATTTTGGGGTAGGTGCACCACCCATTTTAGAACCCATTTTACTGGGGATTGGGATGTTTGCTGGGGGTACGGGATTTTGACCCATGGCCATGTGTAGAATCCAAAGGAAGGTCGCTCTTTGTGGTTGGGATGGCTACTAAGCTTCACTTAACGAGGTTTCGTTTGTGGCTCAAGTACCACACCGAGCTTCTCCTGAAGACGTTTTGTTTCCTCCCAGGGCGTTGAAGAAACCCACTTGGATCTCCCCTGCAAAATGTCAGGGAACCCAAAAGCGATAGTGGAGATTGGGGTATCCAAAGCATCCCAAGGCCAAATCCTGACGGCCCGAAACCTGGATCCGTGTCGCCTGAAACCAATTAGATGAGGACCTGCACCAATTGCCCTTGGTTTATCCCCCAATATCAGCCCGGCCTCGTTTGTTTGGTCAGTTGACCCCACTTCCGGGAAGCGCAAAAACAAACATCATTCTGGGGGTTGATTCCCCATTCTTTGCAGCCATCGTTCTTTTCAAAAACCGGATCCGTTTCCCCAGGGTTTTTGGTGGTTTTCTAGAAAGATCCGGATCCCTGGAAAGAATAATCCTCTCTTTCCTTTCGGTCGGCTCCTCTTCCCACTGGTCGTTTGGTAACCCTGTTGGCTATGATTCTTAATTCGGCACCCTTCGGTGGACACATTTATGCCGAGATTCGTGTCCAACCACTTTTCAGGTGCTTCCAACTCTCAAAAAGGCCGCTATTGTTTTTCTCCGAAAAACGCCTTAAACAATACAGCCCACCCCTTTCAGAGCCCAGAAAAGGAAAAAAAAAGGCACGCCACGACTCCTCCTCCCGCGTTTCGTTAACCGGTTCCGGTTCCGGAACCCGCCTCCACGGGATCCGGCACGTACTTGTAGTGGATGTGCGGCGGCGGCTTGGCCCCCGGCACCGGCACCGGGAACTTCACCAGCTTCGGGGGCTGCGCGGGCGCGGGCACCTTCACCTTCACGTACACCGGGTGCGGCTTCTTGCCCGGCACCTTTACCTCCAAAGGTAAAACAGAGGTAGCCAAGGGAACCTCCCTTGAAGCACAAAGAAAATGGTGGGTTACCTACTACCTGAGTCACAAGCAAAACCTGGTAAATAGTAAACCCAGAACCATGTAAAGAAGCAGAAAGGCCTTCACCTCCCAAGGTAAAACAGAGGCCAAGGGAACCGCCCTACAGGCGGATATCCGCAACTATTTCCGGCTGGCCCCTCACTAGCCTTCATCTACCCGGGTTTTGATTGTGGCTCGCCTCCGCTTGAAACAGAGGTAGCCCTTGAAAAACAAAGAAAATTGTGGGTTGCCTACGATACCTCAATCTGGTGTCCCTTTTTTCAGTTGGTACCCCCCAATATTGTCTTCGGAGACCGACGCTTGATTGACCATGCCAAGTTGATGAACAGACCAACCCCAATTCTGTTTTCGGAGCCGGACACTTCTCTTGTCTTTTTTTCGGGAACCGGACACTTGTTTGACCATGGCAGGTTGATGACCCAGACCACCCTCTTTCGGAACCGGACACTTTTTTCACCATGGTATGTTGATGACCAGACCAGCATGCTTGTTTTCGGAAACGGCCGCTTGCTTGACACCGCCATGTTGATAGACCAACCCTTGGTTGTTCGGAACTGGAAACTTTCTTGACCACAGCCTGTTGATGACCAGACCACCCGAACCGGACACCCTTTTCACCATGGCATGTTGATGACCAAACCACCCCCATTTTGTTTTCGGAACCGACAATGGCATGTTGATGACCAAACCAACCCCATGTTTGTTTTCGGAGCCGGACTCTTGTTTGACCATGGCACACTTGGATAGGGATTCTAACAACCAACAGACTCTGCGAAGGAACCAAAGCGCACTGATTTATGAGCACCCACAGGGGATGAATTTAATAGGCCTTATGCTGAGGTGGTTCCCAATTCATAGCCACCTGAGTTTCTGGTGAAAAGGTCATGCGAAGGAACTTATTTTGGGCTGGCTGGTCAACTTCATATGAGTTGCCGAAAACCCACTCACTTAATGGTTATGAAGATTATACAGGCTTTTGTCAGAAGTAGAATCAGCTACCAAAATGACCGATACGGGGTTGTGGGCGCTACTCGTGGTCTTGATGCCAATCTAAGCGTGTGCGATGAGCAGTGCTCGTGACAAATGCCGCAGAAAAATATTGCAAAGGAGTGCGCTGGTGCCCAGGAACGGCAGAAAAGGTCATCCTACACCCAAAAAAAAGGCACCAGGTGAGCCCATGGTGACAATCTGTTTGTAGTCCCGCTGATCTTTTGCTCTGCTTTCGGGAATCGAAATACTCGGCCTTGTAGTACATTGGCACCGCCACTGCGTGATGATGCGTCACCGGGATGTACTTGTCCTCAAGTTTCGCAGGACCGTCGATGCCGACTGGGCCCTTGAGAATCGTGTTCCAACCATCGGAGAGAGAGTCCCCTTCAAAAATCAGCAACATGCAGCGCAGTGCAAGTGCCATGCTCAAAACTGCCACTGAGATTGTAAAGAAGACTACACGTCTGCACGCTCGAGTCCTTCTTGATCACCTTCACGGGGCAGGCAAAGTCTTCCTGCCAGCAGCACCAGCGCTTGTGGTGCGAGGACCAAGCTCGCCAATGCTCCCTGTCGCCGCAAGAGTAGTGAGCATGGGGCTCATATACATGATGAATGACTACGTGCGGTGCACCGGGCACGGGCTGCCGGATGTACCTGGGCGTGACAAAAAAAATAGATGCGCGTCCCCTTTTGTGGCAGTACCCCTTTGTTGTGGTGTTTCAAGGAAAACCAAACGGAAAACCACCTTTTTTAGGGGGCCCTCCACCACCGACAATGGTTTCACAGACAGCATCCTCTACAAACACCTGCAATCACCCACCAGCTCCCAGCACCTCAACAAGCGACCCATTGTCGGCAGCAGCCCCACCACCGGTGCGTACCAACACATGCAAGTGATGTTCCATATTCATGTCTACCCAACCAACAATCCAAGAGACAAAGCCATTTGGCCCCGGTGGGTAGTTATCGACAAGGCTTCACCCGCACTGGTGTCAGCGATGCTGAGTCTGGAGCGAACTGGCAGGCAAGGGGCTTGTTGCGGGTGCTGGTGACGATGTGATGCCTAATGATGATCTCCTGCGGTTCAGGAGTGGGCAAAGGAGCGTAGACCGGCGTCACAATGGTGTCGCTAAATCCAGCATCGCGGGTACCTTTGCTACCAAGCTCACCCTGCGAGGTGCTGAGGCCATCATGGAATGGTCGTGTCACATCCGCTGCAACAAACAGACAAACAAACAAGGTCACGACCCTTCTTATGACCCCATTGATTTTGCTCGTGCCTGAAAGATGCAGGTCATGTATTCCACCGTTTGCGGGGATTCTAGCAGACTCCGCAAACCCTAAGTGTTGGAACGCCTGCGAATCACATCACTTCGTGTGAGTTCTCTCGGCTTTACAAGGTGATTGGCACTCACCAGCTGCTCGGCGTGCGCGCGGGTTTGTTTTTTTGAGGGCACATGGATATGAAGCGCAGCTAGTCTTTTCCGTAGCCGTGCTTTTATATAGTCACATGCATAGCCATTGAGAAAGATGATTCGATTTCGGACATATCAAAATAGTCACTCTCTCTTGCGACTCGCACATGTGAGTTTCGTCTTGTATCTACGTAATGTGTACAAACTGAGCACAACTGCGTTCTAATTCGCGCACGGAAAACAACAGCAAAAGTAGACACCTGATCGTACCGAGATGACTTCGCATCTCTTGAGTTGTGAAGATGCATTGGCTTGACAAAGAAAAGATGTTATTGTAGGCGATGAAGTTGATATCGCAATTGGAGGTATCTTGTAGATAAGCTCAAAAGAACTAATCTCACGAGGATGTCGATTGGTTGGTTATGTCATTGTGCCGGTGGTTGCGAATTGGGTTGCTAATCATCACTTGAAGCGGATCATGTCTCACAGCTTTCGGCCCCGCTGGTTGTGGTTATTGCGCTTGCTGTGGCTTCTCTCGGATGAGTTTCCCTCATTCCGCTCTTGCTGAATCCTTCCACTGTCTCACAATGATGTGCCAAACCCTGCCCCAACCCGAAAACAAGAAACCCCCCCCTCCCCAACCCCCGGAATCCCTGGGGTTGCAAGTGCAGTCGTCAGCACGAACAAGCAAGCAAACAGACAGACTGACAGACACACAAACAAACAAACGAAGAGCAAGGAACTAACCAACAAACAAAGGAAGAGCAACGAACAAACCAACAAATACATGAAGAGCAAGGAACAAACCAACAAATAAATGAAGAGCAAGGAACAAACCAACACACAAACGAAGAGCAAGGAACAAACCAACAAACACACGAAGAGCAAGGAACAAAGCAACAGACAAACAAAGAGCAAGGAACAAACCAACATACGAACAAACCAACGCAAACGAAGAGCAACGAACAAACCAACAAGCAAAGGATGAGCAACGAACAAACCAACGCAAACGAAGAGCAACGAACAAACCAACGCAAACGAAGAGCAAGGAACAAACCAACAAACAAAGGAAGAGCACCGAACAAACCAACGCAAACGAAGCGCAACGAACAAACCAATAAACAGGCAAACACCTCAGACATGCCAGGCGTGCAAATGTTGTTTCGAAGTGCAGGGGTCCTGTTCTAAGTGAGTTTCTTGGTGCTTTCTCTGCCTGCCAAGGCGCCATAAAACCACCAAATGATCCAAAGGCCCACGGAGAGCAGCAGGAGGAGGCTCACAAAGACGCACCAGGCAGGGCGGAATCTGAAAGACTGGCCCACGACGGCCTCGCGCTTCTCTATGCTGCCCTTGCCCTCACCCACGTAGACCACGTCGGTGACCGATTCGTATGCGCCCCTTCCATAACCTGCGAAGGTGCCGTTGCCGTGCATCGTTCTTTTTGTTTGGGGAACAAGCAGCGAGAAACCCCTCATGCAAAGCGCTGCGAAAAAACACTCGAGCAAGAGTAGCAAGACAACGCGCAACGGAGCCAGATGACCGGATCTCCCAGTTGACCGAACCTGCGCGCCTGCGTTGACCCACTTCTCATGATGCACGGTGGTGTGTCCCGTGTCACAGCAATCCATGCCGCTGCAGCTTGCTGTTTCTTTGCTCCAACTGGCTGCGGCAAAAAACTGTTCGGGCATGGCGACACATCTCCACCTGCCTGAGGGACCTTCGAAGAAAAGCCGCACAAGGGAAAGCAGCTGACAGGTCTGCCCACAATGTTGGTCACTTCAGAGGTGGCTGTTTGAATGACATTCTTTGCAAAAGCTCCCAAGCCCCAAGCTTGTATGGGGGTGTTTCTCAAAGTTCGAAACCTCTCAAGGTTGGTTTACCCTCGGTTTCCCTTGAAAACCAAACCCTTCTTGAAGGGGTCCCCAATTTTCGGCCCTGTGAGCCAGCGCGGCCTCGCCTGTCATCACTAGCTGAAACATCAGGTGGAGGATCTTCTGCAGGCATTGGGGCGCCTGGTCATGTGGACAGAACACGCTCTTCCCTTGCCAACCCAAGAATGCTAGCCGCTAGCCTCGCAAAGCACACCCTTTGGTGTTCATTGGTTACCGACCCGAAAAACCTCGAAAAAGACCCCCACCTTTTGTGTTTCTTTTCTGTCCACCAACCATTCCGGGTGTCGCCTATCCATTCGGACAGGGCGGTTACTTCGGGCGGCTGAATCCAAAAAGATGAGGGCATTGTTCGAAAACACTCTGACGGCCTGCAATCAAAGGTGCTGTTCATTCTTGCCCCACAGCAGCTTTCCGGAAGAGCCCAGGAGACTGTGTCACCTGCAAACAACATTGGGTTTGCACCTATGTTGGTTGCGGGTGCCCTTTTCAGCTTGAAAACCAACAGGAAACCAACTGTTTTGGAGAGTCTTTTTTTTGACACAAACCCACTGGCCAATGGTTTGTTGAAGAGAGTCTGTCATTCAGATAGTGAACAGCTTGGCTCCGACATCCCTAGGCACCTCCTGTAAGTAGCGGCGCACTCGATCCTGGCATTGCGCGGACGGCATCCACTCCGGTTGATTGGGAACCATCTCCATCTCTCCCTGGCTCCACTCGTCTGGCAAGCTGCCTCTGCCTGCCTCTGCCAGCCTCTGCCTGCCTCTGCCTGCCTCTGCCTGCGCCTCTGCCTGCCTCTGCCTTTAAGTTTTTGCCCACTCGCGCGCGAGGATGCCTCCCACTCTCCCCACGGAGCTCTCTGCAAAAAAACCTCGATGATTTCGCCCCACCTGCTCCGGGCTACTCTTGCCCGTCAACTGGGAGTGGAAGTAGGATATCACATTGTCCTGGCGCGCAGGCACAACCCAAACTAACATCCGGCCTGTCCCGTTGCGAGTGCGAGGCATGCATTCGTTCAAAAGCCTCTGGCCCGCTGGCCCGAGGTGAACCACTCTGAGTGACCTTGCACCAAAGGTCAACTGCTGAAATTTGTTTGGCATGGAGGAAGGGAAACCACCAGCCGCCAGCAAGGCCCCTAAAAAGAAAGGGGAACACCCAGCTTGCTGCAGACTTATACTGGGGTGAAAAAAGATAGTGGGGGAATTGTGCCTTCTACGTTCACCCAACTGCAACGTATAAGAAGAGTGAGCACATGTTGCGATTCATGTGCAGGGAAAGGGGGTGAAGCGTCCAACTTCAACTGTGCAAATTATCATGTTTCTGAACTGGCAATGAGAACACCATTTAGCCTAGAAACAAGGATGCACATGTGTGAGGATGCTGTAGCCCCAGGTGTGCTTGTTACAATATGCCCAGAATGATCTGTCAAGGATGCACATGTGTGAGGATGCTGTAGCCCCAGGTGTGCTTGTTACAATATGCCCAGAATGATCTGTCCCCTTGTGGCTTCCGAAAGATGTGGCGCATCATCAAAATGCAGGCATCATTCACACCCCTTTTACAGTACCCCCCCCCCCCCGGCCAAGTTTAAACCATCCCAAACAGCAAAAAGGCACCTCTGAGTGGAGGACATGCTGATGACGTGGTTTTCTTACTCGCCAAAATGCTACCGAACCTGCACTAGACGAGCGTACCAAAGTTGCAAACTTGCAGCTGCAAGGCAACCGTTGGCGCTTCAGCGGGCCGTGCTAAAACAGGGCGGTCTCGCCACAACTGCACAGCTTTGCATCTGCACACCCGTCTCAAAAGATAGCAGGCCTGCGCTTGCGTGCGTCGATGTGGTTGAAAGCTCGCGGAGGGGAAGCTTGCTGCAGTCACAGAATTAGACACGCAAACACATAGCCAGAAAAACATAGACACATACACACACACACACAGGTGGAAGAGACGTTGAAGTCTGGATCTGACATGTTCAACATATCCTCCACCACCCATCCCACGCCACCAAAGGAAGAGAGTCTCCAAAGTTTGCACCGTTGCTCCACTTGTAGTCATGGCACCCGGCTTGCGCCGTGAGCGTCAGCCAGACGCTGCTGGCTTGCTCAAGTAGTAGAAGTCGTATTCGGAACGTGCTGTCCGTGTCCCGGATCATTGACTCGCAATATTCGCGCCAACCATTCCTCTGAAAGTGTGCTTGGGTGTGCCAAAAGCTTGTGGTCTTCCTTTTGGGTACGCTCAAAAAAAGACACGGCCATGAAAGCGCAGCCTACCCTCGGCTTGGTGCGAACACGAGCTCACCCGCGACTTCTTGGCCCAAAAGGCCCAGTGTCAATCAACTCTGGGCACCTGTAACTTCCGGAAGGGTCGTGCCACAAAGGCGCAAAGCGTGTCGAATGCAGTCGCCTTATGCGGAACACTCGAATGGACATGGGGGGGAGGGGCGCGTGTGAGTTTCCCTGGTTCATGAGGAAATCTAGAGAATTTCCCATGTCCCTCTAGTTGTTCATATGGGAATGTTAATTGTGACCGAAACTCGTGTCAATATGACAATATGTTGACCCAACCTCTGACGACCTGGCTCAAAGTTGTCTATCCTGGCCAAATTCTTAGCATAAACGGAACCAAACCTCTTCAGCACCGTGTGAGACATTGTCATATCGTCTTCCCCGCATGGACATGGGGAATTATGTACGGAGCCACCCGGGCTGTTTGTTTGTTTTTGTTTGTTTGCTTGCTTGCTTGCTTGTTTGTTTCTTTTTTGTTTTTCAATCGTGGAATCAGAAAGAAAAGTCGACGTCCTCCCAAGTCCATAGACTTCGGGTGATTGGGTTTGAACCTCTGGAAAACCCTGCGACTCCATGAGAGAGCTGTGGGGCAGCTCCAGGCCAAATTTTTGGAAGCCGACATCTCCGGGAGCTTGGAAGCCACGCGACAAGCGCGCAAAAAGGTTCAGAACACTGGGCGATGTCCCACAAGGCACGAAGGAGGCTGCAACCCATCTGAAGAACTCAGCAATTTGTGGGCTGTGGGGTTCGGGGGGGGGTGTGGGGTGGGCAACAAGTCCCACACTTGCACTGATTTGCGCGGTCGCTTCATGCAATCCTCCAACCGATCTTGATCTCGGCCGCTATTCACGTACGCTGCGACCATTCCCTCAAACAGCCCCTTCAGCATGTGTTGCTCCTTTTTGGACTATGGGCAAAGTCGGAAATGCAGCGGTGTTTCTTCCCTCGCGATTCGGCCACGCCAAATCCGCGCGCCTTCCTCGACGCTTTGCATCAAAGACGTGAGCGTCGCGGGGTCAAGTTCCATGACCTGCGCGCGAGACGGAGACTGGCTTGGGGGTTGGCGGCAAAAAACACGAGAGTGACTCATATGGCTCATTTGGGCATAAATTGTCATCCCTTGGACAGCATTTGAAATGTAGGTGGGGAGTTGCGACAACCACTTTCCACAGGTTCTCTTAAAACTACCAGCCATAGCTTGCCACGGGCCATGCCCGTAAACATCTAAGTTGGTTCTTTTGTTCGGGCAGCTACTGGCATGAGGTACCAGTGATGCCGCGAATTCCCGGGCGGCCTTCGGCATGTGACCCCGCGTTGCTAGCCTCGGATCATCCGCAGAACTGGGCGAAATCTTGGCTTTTGGGCGTTGCTCAGGTTTAGGGACCGACTCCTCAAGGTTGTTGGACCGATTCCGCAAGGGTGGTTGGATGTTTTTTCTTCTTCTTTTATTAAGGAACAAAAGGTCTCGCGAAATGAGGATCAAAACCGAAGCCCCCTTTGGATGGTTTTTAGAAGGAAGCCCAATTGGAAACGCCTGGGGCTCCGTCCGATTCTCTCCGAAAGCGCTTTTTGAGACACATCCGCTCATATGGAGCATGAAGCAGCAACACTCATACTAGTCCCTAGCAGGTTTTGTACACTGGGGATGCCCAATGCGATGTCTCTATTTCTTTCTGAGTGGGGTGCTTTTCTCTTGATGTTTAACTCTTTGTCCCAAGCTCCTTTAGAGCCTTGCAACTGACCGATTTCGCGCTTCATCACTCCCCTTGTCTTGGGAGCTTCGTCGGCCAGGCAGCTCCACAAAGTAATAGTATGGCTTCAGGGCCTTGAGGTAGGCATTCAGCTCCTAGCCCGACCGACCCCAGTACCGGGCAGTTACCTAAATTTGGGAAAAGTCCTACACCATTTGGAGGTAGCAAGCCTTTCAAGAAATATTAGGGGGGGGTCTTTTTGTTGAGGGTGCTCTGTTTGGGGTTGGTCGGAGAACAGAAGGAAAACGACTTGTTTTTGGGGGTGAATAGGTACCCAACATGGCACCCTGGTAAATGGAAACAATGACTAAAACCTGTGGTCCAATTCCTGGTGGTTAAATTTTGATCCAAATATGGGGAGGGGGGGGGGTGGGGGGTGCCCATTCCCTTCTTGACAAACCCATGGGCTCCTGCAGCGGGATCGCAAGACCTGGGCACACTGGAGCTGCTCATGCGGGTCTGTCTTTCGTTTGAGTTGGCACGTATCCGATGCATCCCTTGTTTGGTGCTTGTTGAAGGGAAACCAAAAGGAACACCACCAGTTCGAAAAAAGGAGAGCCGCCCATATCATCCCACGGTTTCCTTCGCGGACTCATTCACGCCGGAACGCCTTCCCCGCGCGCAAAACCCGAGGAGCTGCTTGCTTGCAAGCGGCACATCCGCAGCGCCAGGGCCATAGAGTTGGACAAGGAGTTGTCCTGAGCTCATGAAAGTGGCTCCTGGCACCCTATTGGTGTTTTTTGGGGGGAAAATGGCCTCATCCATGTTGGTTGACCAGCATCGTCCGAACTCCAGCTCATTCATAGAGCTATTGGTGGGTTGTTCTTGCTAGTAAACCAAGTCGAAACACATTCTTTATTCTAGGCGCCCCGTGAGAAAGCCCGGTCACACTGCACCCGAGACCGCAGTAGAAGACTGCCGAACTCCATATTTCCAGGGTGGGGCACACTGTAGAGCTCGAAGACACCAAAGTTCGTGTAGTTCCTGGCAACCCAACAACACAGGCAGAGGCTGTTCCTGGCAACCCAGCAAACCAGGCGTGGCGAAGGCTACGAATGCCCAAAATCCAGCGGCGGACCCGTGCAGCGCGTGGGAGAACATGTCGAGGCCTCATAGGCAAACGGACGTAATGTCATGCTAGTCTGCCAAGCTCTGGGCGACATGGCTCAACATTCTTGTTGGAGCAAGCTTGCTCCATTGTCTTTTGCTAGCAGAGACTTGTACCCTGGGAGTAAGTTCGAGCAGGCATATTTTGCGTGCCTCTGGCTTGCAAGTCGGAATGTCACCGCAGCTTTTTGGGTACAGCTACCAAATGAACTGAAGAACCAAACAAAAACTGTTCACGGCCAAGAAGGTTGGCATGGGGACACTTGGGCTTTCCTTTTTGTAGGTAATAACTCTGCTCATCCGATTCTGGTTTTGAAGCAGCAACCACAAGGAAACCTACCTTGGCTAACCATTTGGCTATGGGTCACAACCCCGTACCCTCAGTGAACATCCCAATCCCCACTAAAAACCCGACTTAAACGGGTGAATTCACCTACCAACCAACATGGTACCCCTCAAAGGAGACCTACCTTTGCCAACCATTTGGGCTGTGACATTCTTCCAGGTCCTCACGATCTTAAGCCGGGGCCGCGACAAACGCCGATGCCCTTGTACTTCTCCACATAAACGTCCCGGAACCTTTGCGATCTGAGATATGTTCCATTTACCAGGGCTCCATTTTGGGTACCCATTTTTGACCCACAGCCATATGTTCTGCGCCGGAATGAGACATCCACAGAAGAAGAAAAAAATCCACTAGCCAAGAGCCAGCGACGGCAGAACAACATTGCGGCTCAAAAGGCCCGGTTTCGGGGGCACTTCCGCGACCCACAGCCCAAGGCTCACTGAGGAGTGGGCTGGGTGCGCTGCAGGATCCGGGTGCCGTATGTGACCAGAATGCTGGAAGCCTCTCTGAAAAGCAGAATGCCTCAGTGGAATTTTGGAAAGGCCTACGAGCCCAACCTTGTCGCCATTCGGATGCGCGTGTAAAAAAAACAGCTGCGCCTTGAGGATTTTTGGGGGGGACCAGTCCGGGAAAGCCGGAACGGATGCAGACATACATGGTCTGGAAGTGTGGCCACCAACCATTTTGGAGGCTCCAAGCATTCATGGCCATCTGGCCATGGATCGAAATCCCGTACCCCCAGGAACATCCCAATCCCACTAAAATCCCGAGTAAAATGGGTGGTGAATTCACCTACCAACCAAAATGGTACCATTGGTTTTGACCCACAGCCATCTGCCTGCTGGACTCAGGCCCTGGCCGTTTGGGGAGGATTGGTCAAAGGTGATGCGCTGCGCCTGTCGAAACGTTCCTTTTGTCTCACCACTCCAACGTCAACAAGATCTGCAACTAGGATTTAGTTGCGGCTACTGATGAGTTGTAAGCTAAGAAAATAATGAAAGCAACCAAGAGTGGTGTGTTGAATCTCTTTAGACAGGCCTTTTCTAGAGTTGGTTTGCTCTTGAGTTGGACAAAAGGCGAGACATGGCCTCCATCGAACCAAGGTGACTGGTGCAAGTAGCTGAAGTATGAAAGCAGGGGTCCTTACATTATACACCTGAACATTGCCTTGTAAATGGTGGTTTCCCCTTATTTTGGTGGAAAAAGCCATGTTTCAAATGGGCAAAATGTATCTTTCAAGGAGTCCTGGAAAGGCAAACATGTTTTTCTGCGGAATCTGCCAAGAATTCGTCTTCTCATGCCGATTTGCAGATGATAGCTCTACGATGTAGTATGCTTGCAGTCATATCTCAGCTGGAGCTGCTAGACCCTTGAACAATGCTGCAAGCATCCTCCTTTCTGGGATGCTTCCTGCAAAAGTACTCGTTCTGACCACCAACCTTCTAACATGTAGAAACAACTCAGAGGCTGCGGGTTAAGAGTCAACGACCAAAGTTCCGCTTCCAAACCCAAAGACGACCGCTTTCTCCAGCAAACGGTTCTGTGCCCTTCTTCCGGCACGTTCCCTCGACGCGGAAACGGGGCTGGGGCCTTGTTGTGGACGAACTCCGCCATAAACTTCAGCAGCGGCGTGGTCACCTCCGCAAAAAACAAGTCGCGAAGAAAGATGGCTGTGGTTGTCAAAACCGTTTTGGGATCCCATTTTGGTAGGTGGATTCACCACCCATTTTGGAACCGGGATTTTAGTGGTTGGATTGGGATGTTCACTGGGGGTACGATTTGGATTTTGATCCATGGCCATGTAACTGTGTGAACGTTGCAGACCAACCTCAACTCGGGTTTTGATCCGGGGCGGATGATAACTTTGCGTTGCGCAGACTCCTTCTTTTCACCCAAAGTTTGCCTGATCATTACACCAGTTGCCGGATTCAATGGCCAGGGCCCTCGGGACAAGCCTAAGCCACGCCTCAGGATCATCCCACCACGCATCCAGCGCGCGGGCGAAGAGATTCACCTCTCGCGCCAGTTCTGGCGGCTCCCCGCTCAGGAAAAGAAATCGGGGGCCCGCTGTCCAGATTTTTTTGTTTGCTTGGTCCGTCCCATGGCCAAACCTTTCCAGCGAGAAAAGCCGACGTATCAATTCCCCTCTCTCCAATGGAACGGGCCAGGCCGTTCCAAGAGGAAAGGCCTTTGAAACGCTGCCTGTCTTCTGCGTTTGTTGGAGGCCTGGGGCCAAATTTGTGTCACCTCTCAAGCCGCAAAAACCGATGTGCACTCCTTGCCTGCTAGGGAGTGCCACCCTGGCAAAAGAAACTTCTTGCCAAGCTGCCCGGTTGGCCGAGGGATTCTTCGGATTGTCTACCAGCCAATCGAAGAGCATCGAGTACGGCCTCAGATCGCACTTCGACTTCGCGGAGCGCCCCTGTACCCCTGGTGAACATCCAAATAGGTGGCAAATGGATGTTCATTCACGGAGGCATAGGTTATGCCCCATGGCCATATAGACGACCCCCAATATGGTGTATTGTGTTGGTATGTTTGCAGCCTCTTGGTGGACCCCAATGGGGAAACTTGGGCCCCGGGCCCTCTCCCCAAACGAGTGGACTGTCAATAGTTTTGTCAGTTGAGTCAACCCGGTATTAAAATGGTCTACCCAGAACCATTTAAAGAATTAAGGAGGCGGCCGCAGCTAATTATGGTTGGGATTATCCCTTACCAACCTTCATCTACCCGGGTTTTGATTGTGGCTCAGTTGTTCCTTTGGCTTCAGGAAAAGCACACCACGCCTCCGGCTAAGGACTCGATCGCCCATGCCCATGTCCGCAAAACATGCTCCTTTGGTCTCAAACCAAATTCGGGATTCAACCAAGCGCTTCGGACAAAAAATTGCCATGTGGCTCCAACATCACCTAAGTCATCATCAGAATGGTGCGCCCAGAACCATGTAAAGAATCGAAAAGGCGGCCGCACCATTTGTGACTGGGATTGTCCCTTACTATCCTCCAATCACCTGGGTTTGCCAGCTCAGGACACTGCCGAAGATTGACGACATTCAAATCGCCGCCCGCAATCAGTTGCCTTTTTCTCCAAATGAGATGTCGCACCCCTGAACTGAGTAGCTTCCAATTGGTTCGCCCAGCCCTGAAAAGGCTACCCCTCACACCAGGCCTCTGTTTGAATCCCAAATACGAGCAGCAAGGTTCCCACGAGGCCGCTGCTCGCAACTGGTGCAGGCGAGGCCTGAGACCAAGGGTTCCAACATGGCTTCACGGCCAAACACTGGAGATGTCCTTCCCATATTTCAATCGGGCCATCCTCTGAAAACGTTGGGCCTGGAAACTTGACTGGGCATTTAGAACATTGCTTCGCAGCCAATGGGCCTGGTGTTTTTGGGAGGGCCCAGTGTGGTAGGGCCCTCCGGGCATACGATCTGCTCGCGCAATCTGAACGCTCCAAGTGCTGCACCGATCCCACGCAAGTCGCGACAAAGGCCGATCAAGGCTGGCTTGACCTGCTCCTGGTGATGAGAACCGAAATGCTCATGGCAAGTGCACCAGTGTAGACACTATGTCACCATCCCTTGGATTCAGAATGGCTGGGACAACACAAGTGGACATATGACATGGCTACGGAGATTTAGCGAGCTAACCCCAAAGCTGTCAAAAAGTCATCAGGCTCAGGAGGGCTTTAGGAATGCAACTGCAGTCATGCTGCTGCGAGCTGAGTTTGGACAATGACGCGACCTCCTCGGAAAAAAAAGGTCTCGGGAATGGAAATGCAGCAGACCCATCACCCTCGCGGTGCAATCAAGATTTCCACACCAAGTGGTCTCATCAATCCTGTCGTGATTTGGGCCTTGACTGGGAGAATGTGAGAGGCTGCAAGGGGAGGCGCACACCTGATGCCGAAATGCCTTTGTTGCTCTGTCGTTGTGCCAACGCTGGCTGTTGTCCTTGCCAAAGGATAGGTTCTATGCTAGATTCTCCCGTAAGCCACGGAACAAGCGCCCGTCCTGACGAAGCAGCTGGGGATTCTGGCAGCTCTGCTGCCACAGCTGCGTGAGGATCTGACCTGCGCGACCCAAGCTGGATACGCTGGGATCTACAGACCCCAAAAACCATCCGCTTGATCCAAGCTCGCCGTGCCGAGCTCAAATTCAACGGCTCGGTGCCAAGAGCGCGGGCAAAGGCAGATGCAACTGGAGGCTTGCCTAAGCGACTTTCTGCAAGCGTGGCACAGATTGCCGAAGAGACGAATGCTGCGATGTGTCGAAATGTCATGAAATGTATACGTCGAATGGACAGGTCGAGCGTCTATTCCGCTGAGCAGTCTGATGCAAGGCCTACCTGCTTCAGGGAAACTTGCATTGAGCGATGCGCGCGAATGGCCTTCACTAGCAGCATGGAAGGAATAAATGAGCAAGATTCAACACATTGATCAAATGGTCAAACGAGCAAATGAACAAATGAGTGAGTTACAATGTACCCAGGAAAGAACGACAAACAAACAAACAAACAAACAAACAAACAAACAAACAAACAAACAAACAAACTAGAACCCATCAAACAAACCAAACCAACCAACCAACCAACCAACCAACCAACCAACCAACCAACCAACCAACCAACCAACCAACCAACCCAACCAACCAACCAACCAACCCAACCAACCAACCAACCAACCAACCAACCAACCAACCAGCCAACCAACCAACCCAACCAACCAAACAACCAACCAACCAACAAGCAAGCAAGCAAGGGACGAGCGAATGAACTAGGCGAAAGTGCTGATCCTACAACACTGAAGGCAGCACGGATCTGCATCTGTTGGATTGGAGCATGGTGTTTTTGTCACCCCTCCCAAACGCAGTGGCCCATAGGCCCCTCTTTTTCACGCCTTCTCAAAACCAGTGGTCCTTTCATACCCAGGCCCGCATGGGTATGCTTTTTTTTGTGTTTTCTCTTTTTTGTTTGATATGTGTATATATGTATATATATATATATATCTCAATCAGGGTACCATGTTCAAAAGGGGAACCGACCTTTCCCTGGCGTCAGGCCAGCGTCCACTTCGCCTTGGGGCTCCATAAACTTCTCAAAGGCCTGGCGAGAGCTGCGACGTTTGATGTTGCCAAGGACCGGCTTGCCGCCGAGGCCCCCAAAAAATGGCGGCGGCCATCGTGTGTCCTGTTCAAAAACCGATTAAAAGAGAGATCTTCAAAGAAATACAGGCCAGCCAAGTGCAAAGGACAAATGGACTGATGAACTGTTCAATGGGAAAAACGGGTTGTTGGTACCAACTGTGAGTGGTTGAATACAGGCAAGAAACATTCAAGAAGCATGACAAGTCGGCGGTAGCCTCAATCCCGCATCACTTCTGAGCCAAATGCAAAAGAAGAACAGTAATCTGCTCACAGCACACCATGGTTCTTGCCATGGCTCTCCCGCCTCCTTGTTGTCCCGTATGTCCATGAAGAGCAGCTTGCCAAGAGTGTGGTAGTACATGGTCCTGTACCTCGCAAAGTTCTCTATGGCAGTTGGGTGACTCGAAGAGAGAGCCAGCCTAAGCCCCTCGGCAAGTGGCCCACAGGGGCATTTCCCTTCTCGGCATTTCATTCCACTGCTTGGAGCTAGATTCACCAGCCACAACAACACAAAAATAGACTTTTTCTGAATTCATCCAAGAAAATGGGCTCTAGAGCCTTCAAACTGAGGCGTCCTTTGGTTTCCTGCGGTTTGGCCAAAACCTCGCTGCCGCCGAGACTTCTGCAGGGCACTTCCCATACTGCAGGCTGTAGGTCCTTGGTGCAGCTGGTCCGTCTGAGTCAAAATCAGACCGTCGCTTGGTATTTCATGGCCCCAATGAAAAGAATCAATTTTGCGGAGGCTCAAAAAATCGAACCCAGAATGGCATCTCGGTAAATGAAATCAGCGACGCTTCAATCCCATGCCACATCTAGATCCCCCATATGCATCAACTTTGCCGGTCCTTGACTCCGAAAACCCCCCAAAAAAAAAACACCTCAAGGCAGTCCAGTGGCAGGAACCCGAACTCCGGGGAGGCGTGATTGCTCAAGATGTACCTCCAAGCGTCCCCACAAGACAATCCCGACAAGAAGCAGGGCCAACTCCTCAAGATGTGCGTCACTCTCGATTGGTGGGACTTCAAGTGGCTGAATCGGCGATCGCACTTCACCATCTCGTTCTTGAGCAGGAGCCGCCCGCACACGATGAGGTGAGGTGATCTATCTGAGGTATGCACCTGCACATGCATCTTCTTTTAGCCCTCCTCCGAAAAAAACAAATACCAAAGGCAAAGCGCCTCTCCGGCACTCTGGAGATCTCTGCACGATGCCTCAGGCTGCGGCGATGTTGATGCCGGCGGCCAGCTCATGAAACAGGGCCTGTCGTGGCCCGAGTGCACTAGTGCACATTGGGACAAACAGGCTTGTTCTTTGCCTGCTCTCCTCACACCAGTTCCGTCAAATCCATGTTCATTGGAGTGGGCGACTGCCCGGTCCTACACTTCCAATTGATAAGGCCTGATCCAACAATCGCAAAGGACCTGGATGCCATCTAGGAGCGGCCCCATCAGCCCGAAAAATCATGAGGAACCGCATGCCTTACTTAGCTGTTGCAAACTGTCCAGAACTTTGACTCGGAAAACCCTTCCCCATGCTATTTTGTTGTCCTCCAGACAAAATGCGCACTAAAATTTGGCCAAACGGGCCTAAGTCTTCCCATGGAACAGTTGCACATTCGGGCTCGACGTCCGGACGCTCCGACCAGCGTCTTCTTCACCACCGTCTCCAGCTGGTATCGCTGCTGCAGGTTGTTTCCTACGGAAGGCTCGGACGGGAGAGCCCTGGCCCAGCTTTGGGTTCGTCTCAAATCCGGGAACCCAGGAATGGTGGGTGTCCTTTCGGTTTCCGTTTAAACCAACCCAAAAACAAAAAAGACATGCTCATTTGCGTGGAGCCATGAAGAATTCAGGGCAGAGATTTCCCTGCGACGGGTCGATGATCTTATGGCTTCTGCCGAATCGAGAATCACTCGAATCACAAGGCTCGACCAGGCTCGAGGGTTGCTTACAAATGTTTGGGAAAAGGTCATGAGGGCAGCTGGGCTTTGCTTCGAAGTGCAAGGCTCAGCCATTGATCCGTCCACATTCCCACTTGCCAGAAGCTCAGGCAAACGCAAAGCTCACAGGGATGCATTTGATGAGCATCGTGTGAAACAAACAAACGCGGAAAAAAATAATCACTTAGAGTTTCGACAAGTCTGATGCGTTGAGCACCGGGTGCTCGGCCGATCTTGTTAATCAGCAGGCCAAGCACCTTGCAACGCACAGATGGACGGGACCTGGTTCGGTGTCTCCTAAGGAAGGCGTCTTTCAACGGGGGCGCTTTTCTTCGTCCGGCACGCAGTGAAATGACACCTGGTTTCGCGGGCTCGAAGGCTTTGGTCCCAAGGACCATTCGCCGGTGCTCCGCAATGAGGGAACGACCACTACAAACCATCCCCTATGGTTTCCTTCAAGGGAGTCCCTAGGTTCATTCCCAAAACCAGAGAGGATGGTGGTAATTCCAGGGATCCGCCCAAGAAAACGGATTTTGCCAGCAAGAGAATGGCCAAGCGCCTGAGACAAAAAAATCCGCGGGTGCTCTGTCCATAGCACATCTGGTGCACGACTTGCGTGGCTGTGGGCCACGAAAAAACTCTGCGACCGCACTCAAACAAAAGATGTATAGTGAACATCCCAATCCCCACTGAAATAGACTAAAATGGGTGGTGCATTGGTTTTGACCCACAGCCATATGGCTTATGGGGCGCCGACCGCATTCTCATCCTCCAAACCCAAGACGGTGGCCAGCCGCTCGTTCACCTGGCGGGGCATTGTCAGTCACCATGCTGCTCTGTCTCGCTCTCATCGACCAAGAAAACTTGCAGGCTGTCAGAATGAGGGAATGAACCCAGGGATTCCCTTAAAGGAAACCGGTTCATGAGGATCATTCCCTCATTCCCTGCTGAGCAGCAGCAAGAAAAAGCGGAAGCATGCAGCAGATTCCCCCTGCCTGCTGCTGCACTACCTGCTTTGCATGCTCACCAATGTACAACTTCCGGAACTGCTCCAGGAAGTACAAGTACCTGGCGCACTCTTTACGGGCGTGTCCCAAAAGAAACAAAACCCCTTTTGTTGGATGATGTCCCAAGAAGCAAAAGAGCTTTTGTTAGACGATTTCAATAGAAAACCAATTGGAAACCAATCAAGGGGTCCCCTTCTGGAAAACGCCCTCATCTGGGCCTGTGCCCATGCAGGCGCACGCAATCTCCAAGCCTTCGCAGACCTGTTTGGTCTGGACCTGTAGCAGGGCCATGCCAGATCGCGGCCATACGGGGATGATCTTAATGTGGCTGTGGGTCAAAACCAATGGTACCATTTTGGGGTAGGGGAATTCACCACCCATTTTAGAACCTATGTTACTAGGGATTGGGATGTTCACTGGGGGTACGGGGTTTTGACCCATGGCCATGTGTGTGGGAACCTTTGGTGCGCATCATTTAGGTCGGGATTGATGCCCATCCATTTTTGAGGTGGTTCCCTACACTTCATGGCAATGTGGAATGGTTCTTGCACACCGCGTCTTGGCAACAACGTTGGATGGCTCTATGGATGCTTTGAATTCTTTGAATTCAATCGTCGGCCGCGCATACATGACGAGAAGTGAGAGGTGTGCCTTCAAACCCCTCCGTTTGCTACTGACGGGGGTAGAAAACTGAAAATGGCCCATGAACGAAATCCACCTTCTCCTTTTGACTCAATGCCTGAGCTTCCAGAGCCTCATTTCGATATATCCGCAGAGCTTTTTTCATGCCCAATCGGGACGAAAGGCGGTAGTAAAACTAGCTACGTACTTGAAGAGTCAACACAGATCTCACTGCATTCACACTGTTTGTATCTATCGTCAGTATGGGTTTGCTCAGCGTTTGGTTTGGCCCTAAAACGTTCAGTGTTGTGTGGAGAACCGGACATCCAGCGTCAACACAAGTTTTTGGGATTCACGGGATGGCTCCAGTGGGACGAATGATGGCTGAAAGCTTTGGGCTCTGGCCGTGAGGTTCACCAAACGGAAGATGCGGCCGGCCAGCTCGCCTGCGGTCTGTGCACGTAGCTGTTGTTGAGAGCGATTAATTCATCCCAAAGGCCACCGGAGGCTGTGTCGTGAAATGTTGTCGGGTTTTACCATGATTTCTGGAATGATCATTCTGGCGGTACTCCCACTCTCGAGAGCAACACTCCCACAGCAGTCACACGAAAGAGTGGCAATTTACTTCACAAAGAGCATGCATGGTGCCTTATCACATGTCCATGAGGACCGCAGGTCGCGCATGTGAGAACCAATCAGCGCAAAGCCGAACTTGAGCAATCTGTTCTTTGGCAACGCTTTACCAGATGCCCCCTTTCTGTAGCTTCAGCCAACCCGACAAGACAGCCTCGTACAGTCCAATGTCACACCGTACAAAGCTGGGATTTCAAGTGACAAGTTGCTGACTGCTATCGGCCAAAGATCCCTGCGCTTATCGACCCCCTCAATCTCTGCGGGTCTACTCCAAGCGAGCAAGGCCGGCCATTGACGACATGAGTCGGGGCGCAGTCGGTGTCTGTACGGTTGGCCTGCACCAAGCGAGCTGAGCACACTGTACAAGCGCATCTCATCAACCCCGCAAAAGGTCTCCGCTTTACATCAGAGGCTCCAAGAATCAATCTGGACCTTCGGTCGACTTCAGGCCTAGATGCCTTCAGCCCTTAGCTCCAAGCTCATTGACCAGGCCGTCGCCCGCGCCGAGCCTTCGCTGATGCATGGCCTCCAACCAGCGCACCCATCATGTAGACCAGCCACCTGGGCCAAAGGCAGGGGGGAACAAATCCAATGGGCGGCCCTGTGCCCATCATTTGTGAGAGGGGGAATCCATGTTTCATGGTGTCCCCAGTACGATTTCTGGTCAGAAATGGCTGTGTACCCAACATGAAGCCCTGTCAAATGGAACCAAGGACGAAAGCCTGCGGCCCTCTGGTGGTTTCATTTTGACCCACACCCAAATCGATCTATGCACTTACAAAGCTTCCATCCAAACAACGCTACGCATCCCGCGAGGCACTGGGTGCGCAGCGTCATCTTCTTCTCGAAGACCTGGTGGGGGATGAGGCCCTGCTGCCCCAGCCTGGGCAGCTTTCAGGACACGCGGCGCTTTTTGGGGCCTTCCACCATACGCAAAGTATACATAAATGTGTACATATAAATGTATAGCAAATATGTATATTAACATATATATGTATATATATGTATATAGAGATAGATATGTATGCATGTGTGAATAGTACATTAGAACAAAAAAGCTTTAAAAAAAGAGAGACAAAGATCAGGTGATATCCCCAACGGCACGCCGTGCTCTTTTTGTTCTCGCACCACCCCGCAGCCCCGTGGAACCCTCGTGGAACCCTGGTGGAACCCTCGTGGAACCTTATCTCAGGGCCGCCCCGGACCACTGGGAGCCTATCTGGGTTGAGACCCCAAAGCTTTCAGCTGTTGGGGAAAAAACAAAATTGGATTGCTTCTGAAGCCGAGTGAAAGCAAACAGGGCCCCCTGTGATTGACACTAACCTGATGCGGGCACGGGCGCTTGCAGTCCACTTTCTGCTTTCGGATCTTCCGGTCACTCCAGTTAACCCGACACCTGGAAGGCCTAAAGGGGAAGCAACCACTCCCTTGTCCAGTCCGCGAGGCACACATTCATGGAGCAACCCTTGCCCAGCCCCAGCCCAGCTCCCAGCTCCCAGCTCCCAGACGCAAACCCCAGCCCAGGGCAAGCTCTCAGCCAGCACTTGCTTCCACTGCTGTCCACCGTTTTCTTGACCCCGCTTTCTGTTGCTCAGCCCCAGTCCCTGCTCGATCACGCAGCGCCAGCCCCACTCAATCACCAGTTCAGCCCCAACTCAGCGCCGCAAGTCCCCAGCTCCTGAGCATCACTTCGCGCTGTAGCCCACCACGCTGCAGCTCACCACCGCCCGGCCCCGGCATATTTGCTCAAGCCCACATTGCCTCTCTAGTTCTCTTGAGCCTGGCAGAGGCACACAGGGCAAACAACGCAGCGTTTACTGCAAGACTTGGTTGGTGAATGGCAGGGTGTGACCTAAACCCTCAAGAACCACAAGGCCCAGAAAACAAGACTCAAGACTTTGGGTTGCAACCAGCTCCCCAGCTCCCCACCCGACTACCCGACTGCCTGGAGGTCTCCTCGAAGTGCTTCATAATGTGCTGCGCAGTGTCCTGCGCCAGGCGCGAGGCGCCGCGCGCGCACCGGCGGAAGGGTGTGGGCCTTTGGCTCAAAATCTGCTCCCCAAACTGGATTTCGGTTCTCCTGTTGGTTTTCCTGGAAAAAACCACCCCGCAAAAGGGTAATACCAAGCCGCACATAAAGCATGCCCCGGGAAAACATCGTAAGGTGTGGATGAGGAAGTGCAGCCACCTGCATCCTTCAGCTACAGTACACACACCTCTGGTTCAAGCCCCCAATAGACAAGAGTAACATGTTTTGCACAACAGCCGGGTGCTGGCAGCTTGCAGGATGAACCCATGCTCACATGCAGTTGCCTCATGTCGCTTCCAAACAGAAACCATCCATTCTTATGCATCCCATTTTGAGAACCCAGTTCGCCCTGTCCATGTCTAGGAGTCATGAAATGAATCGCTGAACACCCTACGGGAACATCATTTTTTAGGTGGGGAGTCATGTCCACCAGCCACCTCGCGTGACCTTTGCGTCGGGGGCACGGTCCTGGTATCGGCATCGGCCAAGGTTGGAGAGCACCTCCAACTGCTCGGCTCGGAGCACCTGCACTGCGAAGGCAGCCCATCAGATGGGCCCTCGAAATCGGACCCCGTCCCCAAGAAATGACATGGGCGCAAAAGGTTGGTGTCCTCTGGGCTTCCCCTGAAATAAGAACCCAAAGCGAATACTGACCAACCAGTTTCAGAGTCCTCATATGTTTTCTCTTGGGATGTTCCTGTGGGTATTCGAGTTTGGAGACCAGACGAATGCCAAAGCAAGATTCGGTCGGGAAGAAGCGCTTCGGGCCTCGTCCTCCAAAGGGTCGTCCCAGTCGTTGCACGCACTGGGATCAGCCGAGGCCTGGTTGACCGAGGTACGCAGGAAGGGAGGCCTCAAGGTCTGTTTTGGCCTCTTGGCAATAAGTCGCCCTACGCCTAGCTAACTCAGTGCGAGGGAACAAAAGCTTTGAACCCACCAGCCCACCAGCCCATCAGCCCATCAGCCCCACAGTCCCCCAGGCGCTGACGCGGATCCGGTGCTTCAGGGTTCCCTCGTCCCAGCCTCTGCCATGAAAAGCCTCGATTCCACGTAAGCGACTGTCACCTTGCGGCCCACCGGCAGTCAGAAGGCCAGAGCAACTCATGGATGCCTGCCATACAAGTTGCAGAGACTTGTGGCCACTCAAAACCCTCAGACAGCATGTGAGCTCGCTCCTTTTCCATCCAAGTCAAAATCTTGGGTGAGACGAATCTGAGAGATGGGATCTTCGAGCTCAATTTGACTTGGGCCACAAGACCCAGTGCCTGCATTGGTCTTCCATACAATTGGAAACTCTAGCTGGAGTCCCTAAGCAGAGCCGGTGCTCCAAGGGAGGGACTAAGCAACCCAGAAAACCCCAAAAAAACTCAGAGAACCCGAAAGGGGCTCTCAACTCCCCCCCCCTTTGCTTCTTGCCACAAGACCCAGTGCCTGCATTGGTCTTCACCCCCCTTGTACCTACCCATTTGGCCATTAGGGATTCTATATCTCGCCTGCCTCCAGCCCAAGGAGTCACCCCCCCCCTTCACAAAACCGGATCAGCCGGTCCAAGGCCATGCCGCGCAGTGGGGCGGCCTGAAGCAGAGGCCCTGAATCAAGGGGCCAGATGGGGTCATCTGGGTGTGTCGGGTTTGGGTTTTGGTGGGTTTTACAGAGAAACCACAAGGAAGACAGCCATTTTGGAGGGTTCCCCCAAAGAAAGACACGCTCATCTTGTTTAAAACTTCCAATGTTTTAAGCTGTGCCGGTTTGAAAGAAAACCGAAAGACAGACAACCGCTTGTTGAAGTGGTCCATTTGGGGAATGCCCCGTACCCCGTGCACGCCGCTTTGCATAACTGGACTCAGAACAAGTACGGTATGAAACCATATGTTTTGTGAAACGGCATGTTTACACCAAGTTTGATAGTACCAATCAAACACAATTGCAGATTTCACCCAGACAAGCTAAACAAGTGAATGATTCTGAGAAAGTTTTCGAGCAAACCGGCTGATCATGAGTATGGCCTGTTCTTCTAGGGTGCATGCTTGAGCATGGACTCCTTTGCCAGGTGAGAGGAACTTGTTGGAGATTCATTTGTCTGTCCTCAAACCGTGCATCCACAAGGGCACGGTTCTTCGCCAACCCTTTGGTGGACATCATTTACATGGGGGTTGATCTCCACCCATGTTTTGTTCCAACCATTCAGTTTGCACCCACATTTACGACCACGGTTTCATCTCCTGCATCTCCCGCGTCTGCCGTTCATCTCAACGCTGTTGTGGAAAACTGGACGAATGCTTCTCTGGGCATTCCATCCAAAGACATGAAACGGGATATTCCACACCTCCTCAACCGTATCCTGCGTTTTGCCCAGGTCATTCAGGTGTGGAACGCTTCATTCCTTTGTTGCACGTGGTCAGATGACGTTTTTGCAGTTGAGGGCAGACATGATCTCCCTTTTGTTCTCCTGAAGGTTCCCGCATGCTTCTCTACATGCTCAGTCCTAGGCAAACGGATCTGCCCAGCCGATTTTGCATCAGCCTCTCCGCACCAAGCATGCAGACACAGCTTCGCATCGCACTCACCGATCCCGAAGGGACGCGGGACGGTGGCAAGCGCTCTGTACTATGTACAACCTTTCAAAGCTCTCATCGCAGAGAGTACTGTCCAATAGTGTAACCCTGGCGTCGCCAAAGCAACGTTGCACTTGTCTCACACCAATTCGGCGTGCAATTTTGCACCGAAAGTGGCCAACACCTTCGGGTGCCCGAACCTGCGGCACAGAGCCGGCGTGTGAATTTGGCTGCACGTGCAATGCCCGCCATTTTGCATTGCAGAACTTTCGTGGCTCATTGGCAAGTTCCGCCAAGGCTGGGCATTTGTTGACCAGCCTCCTGTCTGGCGCCCGATGCCGAACGGCGGCTTGCCCTAAGCCCGACGATGATGTCAACCTAAGGGTCGTGCAAATGCATAAGTGTACTACGTAGCACTGCTTGTTCGCAGCTTTGCAATGTATCCCGCTTTTGTGTCTGTGCGTAGATTTCAATAAAATCTGTCCACAGCTGCTCACTGAAGCTAGCATGGTCGCTGGCATCTATGGTAAAGTCAACTGAACACACGCCAACTCTGCCACCTTTGAACATGATTTCAGGCAACCAACCCAAGCGATTGCAAGTCACGCCAACCATGATTCTGCTAATGCGTCCGCACCGTGCAACTCGGACATGTCGTTGCCAGTCCTGTTTTGCAGATCTGGCTAGGGTAAAAGGGTGACGCTCAAATTGCGCTGAAATCTGTCGAGCTGCTCAAACGACCACTGTCGCTTCCTTGGCGAGCACCAGCACACCAAAGTGTGTTCGACAGACGCTTGCTACACCTTTCACCTCTTGCTTGGAACTGTGGCTACCACTGCCTGTTGATGGGGGAATGTGTGCTTTGCGACATTGAAAGAAGAATGAAACAAACGTTTCCCAAGGTGAAGTATCCCGGTGTTGATAAAGTCCTGAAATAAGCAGGGTTTGCAAATGTGTAAGGTGTAAAAAGACATCTTGTTGTGGCAGTTCTGCAAAACCGCGCTGTTCATGCTGAGCCCTCTTTGCCTCCTACTCCCCTGCAAATGCACTTGAACCCAAAACACCGTCATGTTTGGAGGAATCTCCTTTCGGGCACCCCCCTTTTGCATTGCCTGTCAACTTGCAAGAGAGTACTTCAAGAAGTGCCCCAAAATGAGCTAGTTCGCTAGTTGGCAGTGAGGTCTGACTCCCCTCTGTTCAGCCAGCATTAATTATGTCAAGACGCAATGGGAGCCCCAATTTATCAAAATGGGTGTCACTGGTGTGGACATAGAACGCCACGTTTTGGTGAGTTGCTGGACTGAACAAACCCGGAGTGTGCCTTTTGGAGGTTTAGCGGTTGCTGAGTTGCGGGACTGGATGATCTTCGGAGAACATCCAAAAGAACAACAATCGAGAAAAAAAGGAAAAAAAAGCGCTTGAGGGCCGCACCCAGAGCTGGGAAGCGAACTCGGAGATGCCCTCCGGACCGTTGGAGAGTGCCCTGGCGATGGAACGATCCAGAAGTGCAAATCCGGGGCTCGTTTTTTTGGTTTCTTGGAGGGTTCCCTGTTTGGTTAGGTGAAGCCAAAAGAAAAACCGAGATCCGTTTTTGGGGGATCCCGAAAAAAAGACTCGAGCATACCATATTTATGCAGCTTGACACCAATTGGTGGTTTGGATTGGTGGGTGGGTGGTTAAGGGTGGTTTCCCATTTGCGGTTCATATTCAGATCCAAACCACCGTTTGGGTGTTGCCTTACAACAGCTATGGATGGAGTTAGCGATAACGGGATATCTTCTGCGAATGATCTTAACTTTACCATGTGTATAACAAAATTATTTATGCAACAGATTATGCCATTCTATTTACGACATATCTTCACAATCTTAGCGCCTGAAAGGCTGCTTTTTCTTCCTTCCGCCCTGTACAAGCAGATGGGCGGATGCCTTTTGGCGCCCTGGGCCTTGCCGGCGGATCGCTTCTGAGAACGCCTCAACCGCTCAGCGGAGGTCAAAATAGAAGGAAGCGAAGTCATCCGATTTTTTTCAAAGGTCAGCAAGGTGAGACGTGCTGGTTCTCCTTTGCACCTCCATGTTGGAAGCGCTGCTTGCCTTACTTCTGGCACAATTGATAAAGATCGCAGGGTGAGAGGGAAAGGCCAATGGCCTCTGCCCGCATCTTGTGGAAATGCATGGCGACTCGTTGAGTGGAGATGCCGTCCAGTTCGATGACGAGCTCGCTGCTGTTATTGGCTTCCGCCAAGATCCCGGCCAAATCCTGCAAGCATTCCTCCAATGTGCCGCCTTTCGGCTCATTCTGCTTAAACCATGCCTCCACATCTTCTTGGGCCTCCTTCTGAGAAAGGTTCAGGTCAGAGAATTCGTTGATTCGGTTGTGTGTTCGAATGCAAGCCTGAACGTACCAATAGCTGACTCCCATGACGACGGAAGACATGATGGCCAACACCAATCCCAACAAGATGAGGCCGGGAAGTGTCTTGGCGCTCGTGGTATAACGTGCCGCGGCTGGAACGGCGAAGGAGCAGCCCAGCATGAAGAGCAAGTAGGGCGCTCGGGTGCCATGCCCCACCCTCCGAAGGAATTCTTCACAGCCCTTGTCGGTGGATACCTCGCCCACCTCTGCCAGGACGCAGAAATGAAAGATGAACCGTTGGTCATGACCAGGGCTGTCGAAACGCAACCGCTTCTGTGATACAGAAAGTGCTTCCCAAAGACTAACCCCGGGAGATTCCTAAAAGTATCACAGTGGGGGGATAAACCCGGAGTGATCAACCACGACCCTGGTGACTAAAGATGGTCGCCAAAAAGTTTCCTTCGCGACCGAAAGGTCCGATCTGTTCGATTCGATTGGGATTCGATCTGTCGCTTATGTGAGCGAGCCGCACAGAGCAACATGATGACGCTCAAGATCGTCGAGGCCAAAAAGCCAAAGGTTCCAAGCACGTAGAAGATCAGGGTAAAGTCGTTCAAGGCTGACACTGCGTCATTGACCTCCGGGTGTGTCTTGAAGTATGGACACCCCAAATTTGGCTGATGTCCTTTTCGCTTCCCTGCAAAACCACAAAAAAAGGAACCTCGGAATAAGCTCAGGTGATATCCCCAACAGCATGCGGTGCTCTTTTTAGTGCTCGCACCACCCAGCAGCCCTCGCAGAACCTCGTGGAACCCTCGTGGAACCCTGGTGAAACCCTCGTGGAACCTTACCTCAGGGCCGCCCCGGACCACCCCGGAGCCTATCTGGGCTAAGACTCCAAAGCTTTCAGCTGCTGGGGAAAAAACACACACACCCACCTGTGTTGAGCTGAGATGTTGCCCAATGAAGCCGTCCACAAAGGCAAAGCCACTGCCTGGATACTCCTCTTCCAGCCAATCTGTGATACTGTCATAGCTCATCGGCATGATGACGGTGAGCAGCAACGCACTGATCAAGCCCGTGTTGGTGCACTCACTCACCAAGTTCTCCTGAGCTCCACCAGTGACGCCCTTGTCGTTCTTGATCAGGTTGTCGGCCAAAGTCAGGAAATTGCCGGTCCACTGGGACATGCCACAGGCCAGAAAGGTTTCTCCTGCCTTGGGATTTCCCGTCTTCTCCACAGGCTTGGAGGGCAGGTACTCCGCCACGCGCTTCACCATGATGGCCTCTGCTTTCTCTGTCTCCACCTTCACCTCACCCACGGGCTCCGGCTCTGGCACTGGCATGTGACCGAGTTTTTTCAGAAATGCGGGGAAGGAAGTGCCAAGATTCTGAGATGGGAAGATGGCTATTCGAAATGCAATCTTGAGCTTTTGCGCCCAAAACCCCTTGCTTGGCTCTACCCGAACGAATACAAAGGCAAGACCTGGAAGGCAATCCGTGATCCCAAGAGGCCGGACAGCCGGACAGAGAAAGCGCAAGCAAATTGCAAGAACAACAGCCACCGGAGCTGCATGAACGAAGGCCTCTGCAAGTCCAGATCCAAGTCCGATGTCTTGAACGTCAGAGAAAATCGAAAAAATGGTTGCTCCAAAAGTCGAGCGCTGTCGGGTGCTTGAAACCTGGGCAAGTTCCACCCTGGCTCATCGTTTAATCGGCCCATAGATCTGAGGAACTTCCACAAGAGTCACCAGCAATTGCATCACAGCCATGTTTAATGGGGAACCCTGGTGGACATCATTTAGGCGTGAACATCATGTCCACCGAACACTTGAGCAGCTCTTTTACCAAGAACCGGGAAAGAAAAGCAGTGGCCGGCGAGCACCTCGGAAGCAAAGACAACGCGGTGGCCTACGAGCCTAGATCCTGAAGTGGCTCACCCCCGTGCTTTGCTCTATAGAATCAGCCCAGCAAATCACATGAGAAACGATCTCGGAATTGCCTTCTTTTTTTGGCCGCGCTTCCTGTCGCTCATCGAAGCATTGAAATACCCAACCTGCTACTAGTTCCACTGAACTCATCAAGGGCAACCACGGATTGTTGGACTCATTGTTGTCAGCTTTGATCAAGATCTTACATCTGCAAGTCAAGATTCTTGTGATCACCGATGTCTCGAACATTAGACCTGGGAGAAATTATCGGGCTTCCCTCAATTAGCTAGAAACTTCAAGGGGGGGGATACAAGTGGAAACGTCCCTCATCACGGGCGTTTCAAGCCGTTGCCTTGAAATGCGACGCAAAACCTTCCGCGGGCCTCTTCAAAAGCGCATCCAAGATGTGCGTGTTCTCGGACTTCTTGGGATGGTAGTGTCCTCAGGCCAACAGCCAATCCAAACTTGCGGCCAACCCGGACAATCATGCCCGAAAGTCAGGGCAGCAACAATGGCTGGGGTAGAAAGCTGTGGATTCCTCGAGCGGCCCTCGCCAAAAACAAAGAGGCTCAGGACCTGATGACCTGTTGGTCGAACGAATCATAGCAAGCAGCAAGACTCCATAAGTATCCATCTGATCGGCACCCGGCTGTGGCACAAAAAATGGCACCCAAAAATGGCCCGCAACCCTGACTCATCAATGTTGAGCAACAGCCACCCATGCTCTTACCCAATCTGTTGAATCCGGGAATCCATCATCGTCACAGTTGATCCGCACAGATCTGTGCCCTTTCTTGCACATCTCGGGCGGCCTCATGCTACTCAAAGCAGAAGAAGGCAACAGTGGCTTCTCCAGTCGCTCCGCGCGATTTCATGTGCATCCATGTGTGTGTGTGTGCGTGTGTGCGTGTGTGTGCGTGTGTGCGTGTGTGCGTGTGTGCGTGTGTGCGTGTTTGTGCGTGTTTGTGCGTGTTTGTGTGTGTTTGTGTGTGTTTGTGTGTGTTTGTGTGTGTGTTTGTGTGTGTTTGTGTGTGTGTTTGTGTGTGTTTGTGTGGGTTTGTGTGGGTTTGTGTGTGTTTGTTTGTGTTTGTGTTTGTGTGTGTGTTTGTGTGTGTGTTTGTGTGTGTGTTTGTGTGTGTGTTTGTGTGTGTGTTTGTGTGTCTGTGTTTGTGTGTCTGTGTCTGTGTCTGTGTCTGTGTCTGTGTCTGTGTCTGTGTCTGTGTCTGTGTCTGTGTCTGTGTCTGTGTCTGTGTCTGTGTCTGTGTCTGTGTCTGTGTCTGTGTCTGTGTCTGTGTCTGTGTCTGTGTCTGTGTCTGTGTCTGTGTCTGTGTCTGTGTCTGTGTCTGTGTCTGTGTCTGTGTCTGTGTCTGTGTCTGTGTCTGTGTCTGTGTCTGTGTCTGTGTCTGTGTCTGTGTCTGTGTCTGTGTCTGTGTGTCTGTGTGTGTCTGTGTCTGTGTCTGTGTGTGTCTGTGTCTGTGTCTGTGTCTGTGTCTGTGTCTGTGTCTGTGTCTGTGCCTGTGCCTGTGCCTGTGCCTGTGCCTGTGCCTGTGCCTGTGCCTGTGCCTGTGCGTGTGCGTGTGCGTGTGCGTGTGCGTGTGCGTGTGCGTGTGCGTGTGCGTGTGCGTGTGCGTGTGCGTGTGCGTGTGCGTGTGCGTGTGCGTGTGCTTGTGCGTGTGCGTGTGCGTGTGCGTGTGCGTGTGAGTGTGAGTGTGCGTGTGCGTGTGCGTGTGCGTGTGCGTGTGCGTGTGCGTGTGCGTGTGCGTGAGCGTGTGCGTGTGCGT